TTTCCGTTCTTATGTCTAGGTCTTTAATCCACTTCGAGTTGATTTTTGTGACTGGAGTGAGGCAGTGATCTGGTTTCATTTTTTTGCATGTGGCTTCCCAGTTTGCCCAGCACCACTTGCTGAACAAATTTTCTTTGTTCCATTGTATCTTCTTTGCTCCTTATGACAGGGAGGTTTTATCTTTTACTTTGATCTAAACTTAGCAGCCACATTTTAACTATTGTGACTTTTAGGAGGAAGAGGGGCAAACAAGGTGACAAACTCTATTTTCTGACTTCTCGCCTTTCAAGTCCTTGGGTATATTGTTTTATTACTGTGCTTATCGTGTGAAAATATAAGATCTTTGAAACCAGTGCTGTGTAGTACATTACCTTGAATGGGATCTTACTACCTACAGCTATAAAATCCTGTACCTTTACTGAGCTAGACTGGCTGATAGATAAGTCATGAATATTTACTGAAATTATTCTCACTTTTCTTTAAATTCCCTAGTCATTGACCCTAAAAAGGGTGTCCATAAGAGGGAAGATACAAAATGGGGAACTGAACAAAGGTCATTTTCTCAGTGCTTCTCAGAACCCCAGGGGATCTGTGGAGGTGTTTTGTGTCATCTGTGTCCTCCACAGCTTTTTAACTCAGTAATTTCATTGCAGTTAAAAAGTTAATATGAAGACATTTGGGTTTTCTGGATGACCACTTTGAGACTGAGCCACTTGCTTTTCTTGTCCCTGTTTAGATTTGTTTTGATTGTGTTAACATTAGTTAGCGCAGTATTGAAAGGGACAGTACCACTTTTCAATGCAGTTGTTTTAGTCATATGCAGGTCAACTGGAAAAGTCTTAAATATCTGTTTATTTTTTAAAAAAATACCTACTACCATCTATTATACTTCCTCTCTCCTCCCTCTTCTCTGTTCTTCACCTTTGTAAGCCTCAACTGGTTATCATTGTCCACTCATTTTTGTCTGTTTGATTTTTATTTATTTCATTATTTGCACATGTAAGTGAAATCACCCAGTATTGTTTTTCTAATTTTAGTTCATTCCTTAGATTCCTTTTATTTTGCTGCAAATGACAAAAATTCATCATCTATTTGAACCGTTGTGGGAGTGTGTGTGTTTGTACACATATAATCCTATTTCTACCCAGTTGCTAATCAGTGGGCATTCAGGTTGCTTTTCCACATTTCAAGTATTGTAAATTTAATGCTGCAGTAAATGAGGTACATACATAGAACTCTTCAAGTTGATGATGTCATATTCCTTGGATAGAGACCCAGAAGTGGAATTTTTGGGTCATACAGTACTACTATATTTAGTTGAGGAAAATTCATACCACTTTTCAGAATGATTGTACCAGTTTACTTTTCCATCAAAAGTGTGATTTCCTGTTTCTCCATAGCCTTATTAACATTTCTTAGTAGTCTTTTTGATACAGGTTTTTATTACAGGTAGAGATGATATCGCACTATGATTTTTTTTTTTGCATTTCCCTAGTAAGCGATGATAAGTTTCCCTGTCTGTTGGCTATCTGTATATCTTCTTTATTGCTTAATTGAATAAGTTTTTAATACAGTTTGAATATTAACCCTTAATTGGATATGTGATGTGTAAATGTCTTTTCCTAATTAGTAGACTGTATTCTTAATTTACTGTTTTCTTTCCTTGTGCAAAAGATTTTTAATTTGATATAGTCCTATTTTTGCTTTCATTTCCCTTGCCAATGAGGTCAAGTCTCCAAAGACATATCTTTGATGTCATGGAACTTATCACCTGTGTTTTCTTTTTATTCTCTGGGTTTAGGTCTTTCGTCCAAGTTTTTCATCCATTTTGATTATATTTTTGTGTATCGAGTTAAAAGAATAATCCATCTTCATTCTGTTAAATGTGGCTGTCCAGTTTTCCCAACACTGTTTTACCAAGATATTTTCCTTGGTTCATTGTATGGTCGTGGCTGTTTTTTTTTTTTTTTTTTTTTTAAGATTTATTTATTTCTGCATACAGAACTAGTGTACAGGCCAGAAGTGCAGGAATAGTGAGAGAATTTACGGGAGACAGAGTGGGGAGCATAACAGGCTGACTGACAAAGTACACTGCTGAGGGGAGCAGCGGGCGGTTCAGGAGAGGTCTGCCACACCATGTGTATCACCTCCAGGGTGGGGATTGAACTCATACTGAAGTGACTTTTGCTTCTTAGTGCTGTGCTTTAACCCACTGTGCCACCACGGAGGGCCCATGGCTGATTTTTTTTTTTTTTTAATAAGAGTCATTGATATGTGTGGACTTATTTCTGAACTTGCAGTTCTATTGATTTCATGTGTATACTTTTATTCCAGTACCACATGGCTTTAAGTACTGTTGCTTTACAACAGTTCAAATTGGGGAAAATGATACCTCCATTTTTTCTTCTCAGAATTGCTTTAGTTATATAGGGTCTTTTATTGTTCGATACTAAATTTAGTATTTTTTGTTCTGTTTAAAAACTTGTTATTTTGATAAGGATTGCATATATGTTGTTTTTGTAGGATGGTGCTTTTGGCTTCTCTCCACACAAGACCCTGGGTTATCTTTTCATTTTTAAAAAATTAATTTTGTGCAGAAGAACTGGGGTATAGACCAGAGATGCAAGGGGTAAGAGGATTCACCAGAGACAGAGTGGGGAACAGAACAGGTGGAATCCACTGATAGACACTGCTGAGGGGAGCATGCGAGACAGGTGTGCTGCACCATGTGTGGGTTAACTCCCTGGCTCTGAGACTTAACCTTAGGCCAACAGGGAGGCCCCTCTTTCCTTTTCTTCTTGACTTATTCTACAATTTTTAACAGTGTCTTAGTTTTCATTGTATAGATTTTGTTAAATTTATTCATAAGTGTTAAAATTCTTTGTTATGATTGTGAATGGGAATATTTGCCTAGTTTCCTTTTCTATATATATTTAATCAAATTACCTGTAAACAGTAGTAATTTCATTTTTCTTTCCCAATCAGAATTTTTTTCCTTGTCTAAAATCTGTAATAAAACTAAATTAAATAGAAGTGGTAAAAATGACCTTACCCTGCCTTCATTTGATCTTAAAGAGAAAGCTTTTTTTTTTACTGTTTAGTGTGATAGTGACTGTATGACCTTTGTCATGTTAAGGTATGTTCTTTAAGGTACATATAAATGCCACTGTAAATGAATCCAGCACCATGGCACATTACAAAAGCATGAGTGTTGTTGAAATAGACCTGTTATACTTAAAAGACCTGGCTCTTTAATAAAAGATTATTGTTTGGTACTTAGGTAATATCTGCTGTGCAGAGTTAATAATACCAGGGCATTGACAGAACCAGAAATAAAGTAAGTGATGCACACATGTGAATCTGTGTGATGGGTCTATGCCCTTTAGTCTTTACTGGCCAAACACTGGCACTACCTTAGTTTCCTTTTACCTCTAGTTCTCTGGCTGCCTTGCAAAAAGACCCTATCAGAGCAGACTGCAGCTATTTCTCATTCACCTAGGTTTTCTCCCCTTTATGTATTGGACGTTGCAGTAATCAGCACATTCTGATTAATTTTTCCCATTATTTGTCAGATAATATTTGTTAAATACTTTCTGAAATATTTAAAAACTCATTTCTGTCAATAGTATGTATTTATAATTTTTCTGTTTTTTGGTTTGTTTTGTGTTTTAGATTAACTTCATCTATCTTGCCAGAAGCACAAAAAGAACCATGCTAACTTTAACTGTGGTGTGTTCAATTACATTCCTCCTTGTTTGCAGTGGAACTTTTTTCCCATACAGCTCCAGCCCTGCAAGTCCGAAGCCAAAGAGAGTCTTTCTTCAGGTAAAAGTGATTCTGTGTGAGCTCTTTGAAAATTCTGGACTGGAAAGCCTTGTTACTTTAAGCTTCATTAGTCAACAGGAAAACCTATGGGTCCTTTTTACTGTTTACATATTCAGTTTTATGTGACTGCTTATCAGCTAGGCATGCTTCTCCAAGACACTGAATCAGAAATGTCTGCCTGCTTGTTTGATTACTATTCACATATAAAAATGAACCTAATTGGAAAAAGAAGAGAAAATATTTATCATGGGTAACCAATTTCCAAAAAATAGACTGTAAAAATGTCTGTAGAATGAATAAAAATCTGAACTATGAAATGGAAAAATGTTTTATTGATTTTAGGTAATATTCAAAGTAACATGATAATGAAAATTAAGAGATTGAGATTTAGAACTTTTAAAAATTATGTATTTTGTGCACTTTTTAGAGCTCATATAAAGTACAGGAAAAAGAAGTCGCTCTGTTTCCAGATATCATCTCTGTTAAAGATGTAATAGTTGGCCCTCCCTGGTGGTGCAGCGGGTTAAAGCATTGCACTAAGAAGCTAAAGCCACTTCCGCATGAGTTCGATCCCCGCCTGCCCCGGATGTGACTACATGGCGCGGCAGACCTCTCCTGACCCGCCCGCTGCTCCCCTCAGCAGTGTACTTCGTCAGTCGGCCTGTTCTGCTCCCCACTCTCTCTCTGGTGAAGCCTCTCACCGCCCCTGAGCCTCTGGCCTGTACCCGTTCTGTATGCGCAAATAAATCTTTAAAAAAAAAAAAAAAGATGTAATAGTCAAGAATTATAATTTAAAGACTGTATAACTCATAATATTTGATATTAATAGAATTTGAAAAGGTACAACCTACTTCTTACAGTCCTGGGTACATTTTATATGACATATTTTACAATTTGCAAAACCTTTAGTGAAGAACAGCTAGTTTTCAGGGACTTCCTAATTTTTATAATTACTCTAGCTATAGTTGGGAAAGACTAGATATTTATTTTTTAAATGTCCTTATTTGTTGTGGAGTCTTCTTTAGCTCCAGGAGTTGGCAAAATGATAATGGGCCATTTGACCTATGAACTGTGGGTTACCAATCCCTGACCTATGCATTCCCTTTTCTTTTCCTACTTTATATTTTTCAGGCTAGTTTTTGCTATTAATAAAGCTATTTTAAGTGGAACATTTTGCCTTTAAATAGACTTTTTTTTTTTAAGATTTATTTATTTGTGCATACAGAACTGGTGTACAGGCCAGAGGCTGGGGTGGGGGGTGGGGCGAGAGGTTTCACCAGAGACAGAGTGGGGAGCAGGACAGGCAGATCGATGAAGTACACTGCTGAGGGGAGCAGCGGGCGGGTCAGGAGAGGTCTGCTGCGCCATGTGGATCACCTCTGGGACAGGCAGGGATGGAACTCATGCTGAAGTGGCTTTAGCTTCTTAGTGCTGTGCTTTAACCTGCTGCGCCACCAGGGAGGGCCTTCATAAGACTTCTTTAAGGCACAAATATGCCATCTTGTGGTGAGCTGTGATTGCTGTGAAATGCATACTATCTTGATGTTTGGAAACAGTTATTACTGCAAATGTGTTTATCACATACATATCCATCCTAAGCAACAGTTCTGCTGTTTTTTGAACATCTTAGAAAGCTAAGCTGTATTTGTGACTTTTAAAAAAAATTTTATGCATGCAAGAACTGGGTACAGGCCAGAGGTATGGGGGTGGTGGGTTGGTGAAAGGATTCACTAGAGACAGAGTGGGGAGCATAACAGGCAGTTGGCCGAAATAACACTGTTGAGAGGAGTAATGGGTGGCTCATGAGAGGTCTGCCATGCCACATGGGTCACTTCGCCGACTGGAAATTGAACTCATGTTGTATTAATGGCTGCAGACAGCTTCGTAGTGCTGTGTTCCAACCCACTGTACCACCAGGGAGGGCCCTGTGATTTCTTTTTTTACCCAACAATGTGAGAATCGTCCATGTTGATTTATGTCATTGTAGTTCACTCTTTTTCATTGTTCAATAGACTTACTTTGTAGGAGAATGCCACAATTTATTTGTTCATCTACTGTTAATGGACATTTGCATTATTTTCAGTTTGTATTACCATAGACAGTGCTGAATCAAAACTCAAGAGTTTCTCTAAGGTACATATTAAGGAGTAGAATTGCTGGCTTGAAGGATACGTGCATGTTGACTGTTTACGCTAAAATGACTGTGCCAGCACATAACTCCATCAGCAGTGTATTGGGGTCCCTGTTGGTCAATAAGCGACATATTTTTTGGTATTGTAAGACAACTCATTTTTGTTAATCCAGGGTGCGGATGTGGGTGAAGTAGTTGAAACAATTTTCTCATTAGTCTTGTTCTTTTCAGCATATGACCAGAACCTTTCATAACTTAGATGGAAACATAGTTAAACAGGACTCTGGAATATGGATTAATGGGTTTGATTATACTGGAATGTCTCACATAACCCCTCACATTCCTGAGATCAATGATACCATCCGAGCTCATTGTGAGGAGAATGCGCCTCTTTGTGGCTTCCCTTGGTATCTTCCAGTGCACTTTCTGATCAGGTTGGTTAAGTCATTTTTATGCTTTAGCTGGGGGTGTTTTGTCCTCAATTCCTAGTACTGTATCTTTACCTCATTACTTAAACTTGGTAGCAAGGGTATCAAGTACTATTTATACTTTTTTTTTTTGTATCACTACTAAACTTCTTCAATAAAATAAAATACAAATACAAAGAAACAGTTTTGCTTTCTCAAGTTTATGAAATTTTCCCTTCAGTAATCTGAGTAATGCAGCATCAATTTTAAATTTATTTCTGGGAAGTTTTTATGGTTTGGTAATGAAAGATTGGATGAGGACAAACAGGACAAATAGCATAATCATTAATTTTGGGAAGACTTCATTACACAGTAACCTGGATTTCAGAAGAATTGCCCTTGTTTATCATACCCAGCATTTTACTTTTATATTCCAAAATGCATCCTAAATATTGAAGCTGTCTTTCCAAATAGGAAAAACTGGTATCTTCCTGCCGCAGAAGTTTCTCCAAGAGTGCCTACTCATTTTAGACTTGTATCCAAAGAACAGACACCCTGGGATACTATTAAGCTGACATTTGAAGCAGTAGGTAAGTCATGACAGTTTTTGTCCTCTTTTTTTACTTCTTAAAATTCTTAAGTAGTGTGTATGTGTGTATGTTCTCCCTCAAATTTATGTAACCAGGAACTCAGAACTTACAACAATGTTTCTAAAGACAACTAAAGTTGATCATGCTTTTTTTTTTTTTAACAGTAAAATCAATTTATTTTAGTCTTAGGGAAGAGTTTAGTTTATAGGAAAATTGAGTAGAAAATATGAGTTCCATACCTGCCCCTCAATACCCGCGGCTCCCCCACTTCCAGGGACCACTGTTACTAACATCTTACAGTAGTGTGGTACATTTCTTAGAACTGATTGGTCAATATTGACACATTATTAAGTAAAATCCATAGTTTACATTAAGATTCATTAGGGATCCTCCCTGGTGGCCTGGGTCTCAGTGCTACCACTGTGAAGGTCCACCATGATGGCCAGAGATTGATCCTTGGCCAGGGTGCTGATCCACATATGGCACAGCAGACTGCTCCTGTCTCATCTGCTGCTCCCCTCAGCAGTGTGTCAGTGGATCCAACAGTTCTGGTAAATCTGCTCACCTCCCCCCACCTCTGGACTAACACCACAGTTCTTGTACACAAAAATCACATCTTAAAAAAATTCATCAGTTGTTCCTTCTTGTGCGTTAGAACAGCTTTGTGCAGTTGTAAGAGTTTTGACAAGTGCATGATGTCCTGTAACCATTACAGTATCATACAAAGCTGAGTTAGCATCTGAAATGCTTTGTGTTCCCTTTAAGCAGCTCTCTCTTCCACATTTTGTCTGGCATCTATACTCTTTTTATCGTCTCTGGTGTTTTGCCTTTTCCAGAGCATTATGTAGCTGAAATCATACAATTTGTAAAATCTTTTCAGATTGACAACTTTCATGAAGCAATATGCATTTAAAGTGTTCATGTCTGTTGGCTTGATAGCTCATTTCTTTTTATTATGCAATAATATTAAGGATTACTAGTTTATCTGTTCACCTAAAGATGAGCATTTCAGTTGCTTCTAGCTTTTGGCAATTTAGAGTAGTCATAATAAACATTGTGCATAGGTTTTTGTGTGGACATGAGTTTCTAACTCATTTGGATACTTAGGTACAAAATGCTAAATTGTATGGTAAGCCTATGTTTATTTGCCTTAGTAAGAAACTGACACACTATTCCATAGTGATTGTGTGCATCATTTTGCACTCCTACTGACAGTGAAAGTTTCTGTTACTCTGGATTCTCACCAGACATTGGTGATTTTTAGTAATTGAGATTTTAGCCATTACTAAGAGATGTATGATGAAAAGGTATATCATTATATCATTGGTGATTTAATTTGCTGTTTTCTAATAGCATTGTGTTGAGTATATTCTCAGGAATATCTGATTTGGTGAGGTGTCTGCTCAGATCGTTTGTCAATTTGTTTGTTAATCTTTGTGCTCTTGATATATTAGTGTACTGAATATTTGGATAGAAGGTCTTTATAAAATAACTGTTTTGTAAATGCTTTTCCCATCTGGCTTGTTTCTTATATGCTGGTTTTTTTTTTTCCACAGAGCACACACACACATTACTATATACATGTTACATATATGTTTTAATTCAAGAAAGTCCAACTAATTTTTTCTTTAACAAATCATGGTTTTGGTGGTATTATATAAGTCATTGTCAAACCAAGGAACCCTAGATTTTCTCTTAACACTAGCTTCTCAGAGTTTATCAGTTGTGCATTTTAATTTTGGGACTTTGTTAGGTTTATAAGTGTTGTGTGTTTGTGGATGCTAATAGTTGTATTGTTCACTAGTGAGTATATAGGAAAACACTTGGCCTTTGTATTTTAACCTGTGTTTTACAACCTTGCAGTAATTTTTTTGTTGATTTTTTTTTTTACATAAACAGTCATGTTATCTGCAAACAAAGGTAGCTTCTTTCTTCCCAGTGTATACCTTTCATTATTTCCTTTTCTTGTGTTATTATGTTAATTAGGACTTTTTTTTTTAAATTATTGAGATAACATTGCTTCACATTATATATGATAACGAAGGGTAGGGTCACACTCCTGTGGTGTATGGTACCATTCCACCACTCCATTAAGACTCTGAAAGTCTTCCATCATAGTCCATAGCCCCTTCCCTCTTTACTGTGTTCTTTCTCTACTCCTAACCTCTGCCTTTGGTAGTCTGAATTTGACAGTCAAGCTTTTTAATATTTGAGATTGGTTTTATCTGACCCTCTGTTTTGTTTTCTCAATACTATACCTTCAGTGATACCACCTGGTATTTTTGTCTTTCTTCTTCTCACTTATTTCATTTAACATAAGCCTTCCCCCTCCATCCTCACTGTCCCAAGGTTAAGTTCATCTTTTGTCATAACTGAGAAGTATTCCACTGTATATATGTACCACATCTTATCCACTCATCTGTCTTTGGTCCCTTAGTTATGTATTATGGTGCAGGATGTGGTTTGTCTTGGTTATGTTCCATGTAATTGTAAGAAGAGTGTCTATCTGCTGTTGTTGGGTGACAATTCTATGAATCTTAAATTCTTCTTCTTTTTTTTTTAATTAACCTTCTATCCACCAAATCCTTAGAATCTTTGCATCCTGGATACATCAATTTCAGATAGAGGGTTTGTTGAACTTTTAACTATAATCATGAATTTATCTGTTTCTCTTAGACATCTATTCATTTATCTTGTTTGGTTTGACACTGTTAAGATATTGATTAATCCTATTTAATTGATTTAACTGACTGATATAATCACATAGGAAATACTGTAGCCTATCAATTATACTTGCTAAAAATTTTTAGTGTTCATCCTAAAGCTTTCAAAAAGTTCATTTTCAAATAATACTATAGCCATAATATCATCATGGGTAGTGCATACTTTATAACATGGTCTTCCCAAATTCTTCCCTCTCTGGAATTCTGTAATTGACCTATTACTTTTTTTTTTTTCATTTTTCATTAGTTCCATGTGTTTTCTACGCCCTCAAATTTATTAGTGACTAGCAACTTGAGAGCATACTGTATTTCTGAAAAAACTGGCAGATCATTTTTAAAGAGCTTTATTGGAAAGTTTTTAGTATCAGATAATGGTTTACTATTAGACCTTTTTGGCCAGGTATTAGTAGACAACATGACTTTATCTTTCTTGGTACATTTCCATGTTCAAAATTAGCAGTTGGCTCTTCTAACTACCTTCTCAGTTGCTGTTTTGGCCTCTAAATAATCTAATACTATTTAAAAAAAAAAGATATATTTATTTATGCATAAAGAATTGGGGTACAAGTGAGAGGTACAGAGGTAGTGAAAGGATTCCCCAGAGACAGAATGAGGAGCAGAACAGGCATATCGATGAAGTACACTGCTGAGGGGAGCAGCGGGCAGGTCAGGAGAGGTCTGCTGCACCATGTGGTCACCTCCAGGGCTGGGGATCAAACTTGAACTGAAGCAGCTGCGGCCAACTTGCAGTGCTTAGTCCTAAAACTATTGTGTCACCAGGGAGGGTCCTCTAATACGACCTCTTAAAAGTAGATTTGAGCATGTTACTTCTTTTCAGTTGTTTATCAAATAAGGCCACATTTGGTAGAGCATGGTGGGTAGTAGTTTGGCCTGTGTATATATTTTAAGCTTTTTTCCTGCACTCCACTTGCTGTGCTCCTTTTGTTACATCCAACTCTTTATCCCTGTTTGTGTATACATAGTCCTAATGAAAGTGAAGGTCTTTTGATACCATCTCCTACTCAAACTCTACCCATATGGTGGCATAATATGAAAACATCTGACCTTCCTGTCCCAGCTTATCAAGCTGAGCAACTGTTAGTTATTAAACTTTTTCTTCCCTGTGGTACATACCTCATGGTTATTTAGCTCATGTATTTATTTTACATTAGAATTCAAGAGAGCAAATGTGGATGGGTTTTTATCACTGTACTCTTGGTGCCCACATATAATCAGTTACATAACGAACACGAAGTGAGTGTGAATTAAATCTGGCAATACTTTTCTTTCTTAAAAGCAGTTTCCTTTGGCATTTTCCCCTTAATAGGGAGAGAGAAATAGTGCTTGAAAGGAAGGAGCTAGAAGACATGGATTTTTCTCATAATCACAAACTGTAAAATCTTATTTGTTTGCTGAATAATTTAAAAGATAAACCAGGTTGGTTTCTGTCCCTTTTTAATGACTTTCTGGCACGTATCATGGTTAATTATATGTGTCAACGTGACTCTGCCCTTGTACCTAGATAATTAGTCAAACACCATTCTAGATGTTTGTCAAGATATATTTTTGATAAGGTTAACATTTAAGGAAGTACATTAAGGAAGTTTGAGTAAAGCAGACTGTTTTCCATAAAATGTTGGACTTTTAGTTAGTTGGAGACTTTATGAAAAAGACTGATCTGGCCCTCCCCAGTGGTGCAATGGATCAGGATGCAGCACTGCAAGCTGGCTGCAGCCGCTTCAGTGCAGTGTGATCCCTGGCACTGGAGGTGACCCACGTGGCGCAGGAGACCTCTCCTGTCTTGCCTGCTGCTCCCTTCAGCAGTGTACTTTGTTGATCTGCCCGTTCTGCTCCCCCACTGTGTCTCTAGTGAACCCTCTTAATCCCAATTCTCTGACCTACACGCCTGTATTTGTATGCCCCTTGCTAACTTTCAGTCATTTGTTTATTTACATTTAAGGCTAAAATTACATACAGTGAAATATACACATCAATACATTTCCATTTATTTAGTAAAAGCTAACCTGTAATTACTATCAAGATATAAAAATTTCCATGACCCCAGCAAATTCCCTTAGGAACATTTCTGCTTAGTATGCTTGACCCTGAGAAGCAACCCCACTTTCTGATTTCTGAATTAACATTTATTATTCTCATTCTTGAACTTTATATAAATGGAATCTAGTATGTAATATTATGTCCTGGATCTTCAAGCACAATGAGCTATGTTTTGAGTGTCAGTAATATGTTCTTCTGTTGCTGACTAGTAATTGCTAGAATAGACCACATTTAATCATTTTCCTATTGATGGAAACCTGGCTGTCTTCAGTTCTTGAACACCTGTGAGTGAATTGGCTTATAGGACAGTCTTAGGTTTTACCTCAGAATTGTTCCATTTTTCACTTCCACCAGTAGAGTATCAAGAGTTCCAGTAGCTCTACATTTTCACCAAAATTTGCTGCTGCTGGTTTAGTATTTCTAATGGGTGTATAGTTATTCTCAATAATAATTGAACAGTATTCTAAGTGTTTACTGGCCATGTGCAGATCTTAATATCCATGTCTTACTTTTTCCACTTCATAAATTGTACTTACTTTCATGAATATACATTTCTTTTCCAAAGATTTTCATTTTTGCATAGAAGAGCAGGGGTGTAGGCCAGAGCTGTAGGGGTGGCAGGATTCCTCAGAGATAAAGTAGGGGTCGGAGCAATCTACTGAAATACGGACTACATTAAGGGGAGCAACTAGGTAAGATTGCAGAGGTCTGCTATGTCACATGGGTCCGTTTTCTGGCTTGGAATGAACTCAGCCACCAGAGAGGCCCAATATTTTCTTAATGCCTTTTGATGTGCATAAGTGTTAAATTTTATTAAGTTCAGTTTATCTCATTTTCCTTTTATGATTAGTGTTTTATATGTCTGCTCCAGAAAAATCTGTGGCCCAGAGGTAACGAAGATATTTTCTTAAAATTTCCCCTAGAAACTTTATGGTTTTAGTTTCTATCCACCTAGAATTTTTTTTAAAGATTTTACCTTATTTATGCATGCAAGAACTGGGGTGTAGGTTAGAGGTTTGGGGTGAGAGAATTTAGTAGAGATAGAGTGAGAAATACTCTATCTTGTAGTCTATGGAACAGGCACATCTACTGAAATACAGTGCTGAGGGGAACACCAAAGGAGAGGTCTGCTATGCCATGTGGGTCACCTCCCGGGCCAGGTAAAGAAATCATGCTGCCATGGCTGCAGATAGCTCCATAGTGTGTACTTGAACCTGTTTTGCCACCAGGGAGGCCCGCTACATGTCTATTATTATAGAAATCTTTTAACTTCCGAGTAATAGTCGTTTTAATGATAATTTCAAGCTTTACTGTGTTTATAATTCACTTTAATTGAATTTTCTGATATCTTGTTACCTAATACTTACATGAATATTTTATGTGTACTTGACAAGGTATCTATCTAAATCAAACTTACTGTTCCGGTTAAAGAATACATGTCTCTATCATCTACTTTCGTCAAATTTAGTTCTTGTCAAATTTTGTGTGTGTGTGTGTGTGTGTGTGTGTGTAGAAGGACTGGGGTACAGGGTGTGAGAAGACTCACTAAAGACAGAGTTGAAGCAGAGCAGGCAGACTAAGGGGAACGGTGGGTGAGATAGTGTCTGCTGTACCTCATGGCTGGTCTGAAATACCTTTTTTTTCATACTTCTATCCTTTCTGAATCTTAAGTATATTTCTTGAGTACAGTGTATTGTGCCTGACTTAGTAAGCCATGTTAAAAGTTTTTTAGTAAATTTAATTACTAAGCTGAAAAAGATACATACGGCTCAACTTTGTTATACTGGGTTGTGGTTTTCTTTATCTTTTATGTCTTCATTATGCCTTAATGTGAAGTATTTTGTGGTATTTAAGGTGGTTTATATTTGTTTTATCACCATTATTTAAACTTTTGCTATCTTAAGTTTTTATTACGATGTTCTTTATTACTACTGGATAATTCAGGTGTGCTTAACACTATTTTCTTTTTCCATCTCAGTATGTTATATGCAACACTTACAGGTTAGTGTTTTTAGTCTTTCTTTGGTATTTGTCTTAGGATTTCAGTGTATAAAAATACATTGCTATCAATTCTTTTCTACACTATGTCAGTTGTTGGTGGGATAGTGCTTGGTCAGTAATTTCTGAAGGATTCACGAGTACTATGTCATGTTTAAATAACAAGGCCAAGACTTACACAGGGTGTCCTCTTATTCGGTGCCTTTTCTGCTGCACTTTATCACTAACTACCCTTGTTCACAGGCACTGCATATGGAAGCTGGGAAATCACCATTTGGTTTTTAGTACCTTTATGAAGGTTCATGCCTTTTAGCACTTTAGTCTGGTTTTATATTAATTGCTTCTTTTACTGATGCCTTTTTTTTTTTTAAAGATTTATTTATTTATTCGTACAGAACTGGGGTACAGGCCAGAGAAGCGGAGGGTGAGAGGATTTACCAGAGACAGAGTGGAGTGCAGAACAGGCAGATCTACGAAGTACACTGCTGAGGGAAGCAGCGGGTGGGTCAGGAGAGGTCTGCCGCGCCATGTGGTCTCCTCTGGGGCAGGCAGGGATCGAACTCATGCGGAAGTGGCTTAAGCTTCTTTGTGCTTTAACCCACTGCGCCACCAGGGAGGGCCACTGATGCCTTTTTAAAACTTTCTTCCTTCCTGTTACCTTTTAGGACCAAGCCATATGTCATTTTATATTCGAACTCACAAAGGAACAACACTTTCTCAGTGGTCTCTTGGCAGTGGTACTCCTGTCACAAGTAAAGGAGGGGACTACTTTGTATTTTACTCCCATGGACTCCAGGCTTCTGCATGGCAATTCTGGATAGAAATTCAGGTGGGAATTTCCCAGCATTGCTTGTATCACTCAAGTTCCCAGGTGGTGTTTGGCAAAATGCTTGGGATCAACATTTTGTGACCAAAGAACTAGAGGACTGACTGACTTTCTCTGCTAGGTCTTGGGAGAACAGCCTGAAGGGATGATCACTGTGGCCATTGCTGCCCACTATTTTTCTGGGGAAGACAAGAGATCCTCCCAGCTGGATGCTCTGAAAGAGAAGTTTCCAGATTGGACATTTCCTTCTGCCTGGGTGTGCACCTACAATCTTTATGTGTTTTAATTTGTGGATGAGTTCTAAGTCATGCCCAGTGAGATACTACTCCATGTGACATAATTTGCCCTATGTTACACAGAAGAAACGTAAGTCAATGAATCTTAATGAGTATAAGTTTTAAAAGAGATTTGTGAGTTCACACCCTTACAAGGACAAAGTGCTGTAATGGTTCCACTGTGGGGTAGTGACACATAGTCTTTTCAACACTTGAAATGCTAGTCTTGTAGCATGTAAGTATATGTGGGTATTGCCACCAAACAAATTTTGTATGGACAGAAGCCAACAAACCACTTCTGTAGTTATCTCCTTAGGCTGGCGAAAGATGTATGAGGTATTATTGCAAGACCATTATTCAGGAGACAGATGTCATTGCCAATTAAAGCCTGAGACCATTCGTTGTGTCAGGTGACAGGTGAATACCATTCATTCTAGGTCTTTGGAAAGGTCTAGGTCTGCTTCTTCAGGCAGTCTCTAGAACCTACTTCTCATCTCTGCACTGAAACCCAGGGCTCCTGATAGGGACAAGTAGTCATGAGATTCATCATTGTGGTTTTCTGCTCTTTTCCTCTGAAACACATCTGACCCCCTATTCCACCTTACTTAGCACTTAGAGAAGAGGAGCTTTTGTCCAGCTACTTTACCCTCTGAGTTTTCACAGGCTCTTCTAATTCAGAATACTGTTTGTGTAAGTACATGACCTTAACTCCCTTCCTCAAGCACTGAGTTACTATGGTGGTTAGTCTGATGTTGGAGGAAAGTTGGGAGTGATTGGGCATTCTATAAAGATTAACTCCCTGTTTTGTAGGAATCTTCTGGTATCCCAGGTCAGTCATTTAGACCTTACTTTTAATGGACTGCATCTGTTGTTCTGCTGTTTCACGAATTTGTCAGTAACTTGCTGTCCAATCTAATTGGCTTTCCTGAGACATTAGGTCTTGATTTGTACTGGAATGAGACACCTGTACATAAAGACTCTGGCATAGTAGCAGTCTTAGGACTTACAGATGCTGTTCATTTTGAAGAAAATAAATTCTTAGCTGTGGTAGTAGAAAGATTTGGTGAGATCAGTGATTGTTATTTGAGACATAAAAAGTTGAGAAATTTTGAGCTTAGCAAACAGAAGAGCATAAATAGAAGTGTGTTGCAGGAGAAAACTGCTTAAAGCTGTTTGTGCAATGTGTACATGATGTTTTCTGAATTATGCGCCTCTTACTGACTGCCTAATTTGTGACACCTGACAAACTGGACTGGGTCTACAAAGCAGGGCGGCAGCCAGAACTGAACAATGACTCAGATATTACATGCATGCATATTGGAGGCACTTTTCCCAGCTATTGTAGAAACCACATATTAAGTCTCAAATGTTTTAAATGTCTCGCTCCTGCCACATTTGTCAGGAGGTACATAAGGTTTGCAGTGTTCAGTTTGGAGAAAAGAAAAACAGTAATGTCCAAATACTGGCAGTTTTTTGGTCACTGTTATTCTGAAGTATATCGTAGGAGAAATAAAAACAAAACCCAAAGTGTTGAGGAAGGATATTCATTGCATATTCCTTTCTAGTAGTAATCATGATTTTCTTTAGCATTATAAAGCCTTGACATTATATAATGTCAGAAAGAAAAAATTCATTAATTGTAGGGCAAAAATATTTTTGCGTTGTTGTTTTAATGGCAGAAATAATTGCATCTAATATTTATGGGTTTGTTGATAAAAGCACACTGTCAGAGTAGCAGTAACTGAGATTAAAAATTTTAACAGTCTTTTCAAATTCTAAGTACCACAGTATATAGTATTGCAAAGAAATTCCTAAAATTTACCTTGTTTCATTAGGAATTACTGAATGAACTATTTGCTTCCACAATTAAGTATCATAGGATCCCTCAGGGGGCTATTAGCCACCCTGTTGACTCAGGAAGATGTAGAAGGAACAATTCTGCCTGCTTTTGTCATTGCTAATTTGCTGAGGGTTAATTGTTGCCTTACAGTGTTACTGAAATAAATGTTTGAATATACTAGGTGGTATCTTTAATATAAGAGACCTTTTTTTGTAAATAAGAAAAAATGCTATTAAGACTTACATTGCCCCTTGAGTGGGTATTGACTATATGTTAATACTGGGCTGCTAGAGAGAAGTCATGACAATTTTTTTTTCCAAGCAAAACTGTGTCATGACTTTTGCAACAACCTATACAGTATTTATTACTTACTGTCCTTTTTACCTTCGAATGAAATGGATTTTACAGAAATAAAATGACATTAACTGTTAGACTTCAGCATCTTGTACAGCGATTTTGGATCTGTTAAAGTTATTTCAGGTGAATAATTAGCATTCCAGGCACCAAATTTCATTGTTCCACTTTTGGATAGTGGGGAAAATGTGTAATTCTAATACATGATTGACTTCTTTTACGTCCAATAAAACAAAAATATTTAAGTGCTTTTTATTCTTAAAAACTCTTGACAAATACCTTAAACTGTCTTTTTACAAATCAAAATTGCCTTTCTCCAAGTTTGACCCTACAGCATGACCAAGTGGGATTTATCCTAGGAATGCACAAATTGGTTGTATATCTGGACACTGATTAAGGTAACAAATTAATAAAGGATGACCACCTCAGTAAATGCAAAAAATATTTTTTGGACAAAGCCCCAATATTTTTTCATGAACTATTTGCTTCCACAATTAAGTATCATAGGAAAATAGACTGCAAGGAAACTTCCTCAACCTGCTAAAAAAGGTAAGGTAATAAAAGTTAACATAAGCTGAAAAGAAAGTGCAATAACATTGTCACTTCTAGCCAGGGCAGTTTGATTATTCAAAGTATTTTTAGCTGTAGATTGCACCATGTGTTACATAAAAATCCTAAGGAGCCCATCAAAAAGTTACTAAACGAATTTACTAACAAAGAATAATTCGCAAATGAAATAGTTGTATTTGCATAAATTGAATAACATCAGCTTAGTTTTAACAAAAGTACAATTAAAACATGTTCATGTGTTGGAAATTTTAGTAGTTTACGTGATACTACTCTTCAAATGAACACATGGAAGGAATAAAATCCCAGCTGCCTTTTGTATATGTGCACCGAAATTGACTTTACAATTTCAAAACTTCCTGAAAAGAATTATTAATGCAAGATAGCCTACTACTTGCATTAACTGACAATGCAGAAATAAACCCATACATTTAGTCAATATTGACAATTCAATGAGGTAAATATCTATTATAGCAAGAGGTGAACAGAACTGCATACTCACATAAATTTCTGGAAGAAAACAGAAGCATACATTTTCTTAAAGGTTACACAATACTTTGTAACTATAACAAAAAAAATTCTGAAATGCAGAGAAATATCTAGTCAACTTTGTCCATATACCAATGTTTAAGACATTAGGAAAATGCAAATCTGTTGTTAGTTCACCACTCCATACAAAAAGTACTGTTAACATTGTAATATGGTTTGGCATTCATTCAAATTAATCATATTAGGTGACCAAGAAAACTGACAATACATTCATACAGAAAACTTGTAACCAACCCAAAGTCACACACAACTATTGATGGCAAGCAAAAAGCCACATGGGTTATTCATATCTAGATCATACAAGCTTGTACCTAGATTTATGAATACTGGAAACAATTTTTAATTCTACCTATTAGAGATGCGTAGTTTTCATACTTATTGTGAACAATTTCTATTCTCAGGTATCTAAGGATACTATTGATTCTAGTCTTTATATTAAACAAATTTTGTGGCTTTTAGTATATATTTTATTTGCTGTTGACCTGAGATGAATAAACAAAGGTTTATTTCTTTATTGCCCTTTACCACATAAAAATATACACATTACAGAAGTAGCAGCAACTTAAATGCTAATGTTGACTACCCCAAAACAATCTTTTGGTATCAGCAAACTAATTGGTTAAAATTATGGCTTACACAGTTGATATGTGAACTAATACAACTTTAAGTATAGAACAGATAACCAAATAAAAATTTTACCAAATTCACTTCCAATGTCTTACTTTTAAACAGTACAAGCTAAACCCAGCAGCATGCTATGATATTTGAAAGATCACAGCTGTTTTTTACAATGGTAGGTCGTTTTTATTGATTGAATGTTCACACCAAACACAATGCTGGTTCTCTTTAATGGATAGGACAGAAGAATTTCAGGTCATTTTGTTTCTGGCTACATGTACTAACATGGCAAATATTTTTTCTTAGATTCAGGGAAAGTTTGTTTAAAAGAAAGATTTAAATAAAAGTAGCACCAGAAGAACCAGGTACCGATAATTATTGCACTTATAATGTAAAAATTAAATGACAGTAAATTATGAAACTGAATACTTTTTACTTTTATGAATTTGGAACTAAGCAATTTCAAAATTGTTTGAGTTCTCTTCAAAGGAAGCCTGGCTAGGACAACTAGTCTTTTACAAGGACCAAGTTTTAATTATAAGCTGTAATTGCACTATGAGAAGACTTTGTCTTACATAGTGATATGAATGAATTTGGTCCATATAAAGTACACTTATAAAAATAAGTTTGTTTCTGTAAAAAATAACATTGCATTCCTTTGTTCAAATTGCACAGTACAAATAAGCTATCTAAATTAATACTGTTAGAAATACATACAGTAGAGATGTGTTTAGTCTGAAGCAATTAAAGATATGCAGTTGTTTTCATAATGTATGAAAACTAAAATTTCAGTCATATCTAGAAATGCATAATTTTAAAAAGTTACAATGAAAAATGTATTCTTTACATACTAATTTTTACTAGCCATGATAATAGAGGGCTCAGCAGTCTATTTACATTAAACTCCATTTTTATTCAGTTTACAAAACCAATAAATAAACTACATTAATTTGCACAAAGTCTGCTTCATGATCATTATGATTATTTCTGGTTACTTTATGACTAAACCAGTAAGCCTGTCTACCTTTATGAAGAGTGCTCATATTTAAAAAAAACAAGCCCAATTTTTATTCCAAATGTACATATATATAGCCATGCAGAATTAAAACCTAAAAAATTATAATACAAGGCCTAAAAATATGAACAATGCTTCAGTATATTTACATAAGAGTATTTACAAAAAGATATGGTTGATAAAAATAGTTTACTGGTATCTACAGCATAATTGATAAGCCCTCATACTCTGCCTGCAGTAATCAAGCTTGCTAAAAGCAACATACTAACTTAACAAGTAAAACACTTCCATCAACTCTCCATGGCATGTGCCCCACTGCAGACACCTATGCAGCAGTGCTCACAATGAACAGGTAGCTGAAGTTCCTGGTAAGCTAAAGCAAGCACCTCCACTTTGAAAAAGTAGTTGGGATACAACACATTGTTCAGGAAACATGTAAGAAGCTATAAGTAGTGAAAAGGTAAATTCATCTGGGGCAAGATAATCCCTATGGAACAAGAGCTACCAACCCTTAAGAATAAAACCAAAATATTCTCATGTACATCAGTACAATAAATACTCTTTATTACTTTCCATTGCAGTTAAAAACATTTCTTAATGAAAGACACTTGCTATCATATCTGCATGGTGTCAAATAGATTTCTCGAAAGGCAGTTTAAAATTCTATAACATCTTACCAGTCTTAACTTGTCTCTCCTGGTAAGTCATCCAACTAAGTCACAGTATCTGCTGCTTTGAGTACTGCCTGTGGTGATGATGGTGCACTATTGTTAAGACACAGAACAGTCGTAAGTCCCATCCTGAAAAAGTTCCTCTTCTGCTCGAATTGGGTCTTCCTCTTTCCGGTTGTTCATATTGCTACCTCCAACTTCGCCCTGAGGGATATTTGCATGCCCCAAGGAGCCCCTGCTCTCCTCTGCCCGAGGATTTGTCTGTTCAGGAGTCTTACCCACTGTTATTGGCTGGAAAGCTTCAGGTTGGACCTGCTCTTCTGTTATATCACTTAGCTTCTGCAGCTGTGGCTTAATAATATTTAAAAATGGCTTATATCCAGGGCTAAGCAGAGAAAAAAAGACAATTAGATCTTAATATTCACAGCCTAAAGATTCTGCATAGTGTCATGGATCCATTGCTACTAAAACACTGATGCAGTAAAGTCCCTGAGAAATTATGGGGAGGCACAAGGAAGAAAGGCTTCACAGGTACCCTACCGGCTACCATAGATGCAGCTGCACACATCTTAGATTTCTGAATTTTGCCTTTCTTTCTTTTTAAAAATCTTGTGTAGAACTAGTGAAGCAGCAGGTTAAGACAAGTCTGCTGTGCCATGTGGTATATAAGCTGCCAGATTGGGAATTGAACTGCTGGCAGCAGTGATAGTACACAGGCTTAATCCCTATACCACCAGGGCAGCCCTGTCAAAAATCATTCCACAATCTACTGAATTTTTGACTTCAAAAAAGAGGGCTGAATCCTGAGGCTCTCTAAGCAGACATACGTTTGGGTTTTCTATTAATTGACATGTTAAATTCAAGTAGACATGTAGGATATTACCTTAAATTCCACAGAACTAGCAATTACTGAGTCTTGCCACCACATTAACCTTAAGTCAATGACCTTTTGTAACTATCTTGATGGACATTACGCATCTAAATGACTAAATATAGAACAGTAGACAATGTAGTGTTAAAATTGCTTTCATATTTTTTAAACAAACTAAAAATCTGCAACTAAAAAAAACCAGAACTAAGTTTTAGCGTAAAAAGCAAGGATTAACCAAAAGAAAGCCAAATAATAACATCAAGAAAAATCAACACTCACCAATCTGTAGAAGCCCACCGGTCTACTGCATGCAGTCCTGTCTTTATGTTGCGTAACATCTCTCTATCTACCTCTGAAGACTGTATAATAACCAAAATCTGGTTGATTATTGAGGATTCTCTAAGAATCAGGCCTATCACAATGCACCAGTCCAGACAACCTGCCTCCATGAAGATATGTAGCAAATACCTAAAACATAAGTAGAAACAAGATTATTGACCTTAAGGATCTACAGAAGGGTAGTAATCACCAGGAAGGTAGACTATTTGTCCAAATATTGCAAGTAGACATACTTTTCCTCTGAAATACTGAACTCACCGAAGCTGGACCTGGGATTGGTGAGGCCCTTTACTCGCCAACTCCATGGAGATATGCTCCAGCTCTGATTGAGTTAAACTGAGTGTGGAGAAATTTTCATCCACCATTGTCCAGTCCCCATCCACCATGGAACTACTTTCAGTCAAGTCTGTGGCTGAACCAATACTGCATTCATCACCTGGTAACAAATTGCCCAGAGTTATAAACTAACTTCATATAGAAAGCAGATTTTTCTTAATTTTAACTATTAGCAGTTTGTCTAATGTAGATTGTTTTAATATTAAATACACTACTTAACAGTCCATGATATATTTACAGTTGTAAATGTAAAGATACATATATATGTATCAGAGAAATAACGAGGGAGCTACCTTTGGATGGAAAACCACACTACTACCCATGAAGAAGTCTTAGATTCAATTTCCAATTTAAAAAAAATAGAGAGGAAACTAAACTGTGAAGAAGCAATCACCAAAATCCATATTGTAAGATTCAACTTTTCTCAATAAATAAACTGGGGGTTGGGAACCATAAAATGCGAAAATGTATAACCACTAAAATGAAAAAAATTAAAACAGTGACTATGTGAACATTATTCAATTGATTCAATTTATAAAAAATTCATAGGAAACTTAAAATTTGAATACTGGCTATCCCCGAGTTTTTATAGAAATGAATAATGGTGTGTTTTTCAGGCACATACTAAATGTTCACAAAGATGTCTTTGAATCTAAGAGGTGAAAAATTAATCAAATACTGGTGGTAAAGAAAACTAGATGGTGGATAAAATGTGAGTCCGAGTCAAGGTGTACTCTATACTACAATCCCTACTTTTAAAAATATCTTTGAATGGTATTCTTCAGAATATTCTAAAGAAATTAAAATAATTCCAATCACTTAACAAGACTCATCTTGAAATTAATCTTATCTAGGAGGTGAAGGCACCTCCTGTTCATAAGCATCCATGTAATCAAAATGACTTACATGTCAAGTGATACACAGCTTTAACATAATTTCCTGCATCATGTTACCTGACTTTATACCAAAAAGCAAAAGTGCTAACAATATTGGCATAAAAAAAATAGAAACTTAAATCAATAAAATAGAATAGAAAGCCTAGAAATAATCCACATAAATACTAATAATTTTTAATGAAGCAGTAATGACCATGCAACAGGCAAAGGAGGATTTCTTCAACAGTGTTGGAAAAAGTGGAAGGCCATGTGTAAAAGAAAAGATCTCACTCTAAGCCCATGTACAAAAATAAATTACAAATGGATTAAAGATTTAGATCTAAGATGTGCAACAAAATATATAAAACACATTGCTGGTATTCTATGACATCAGTGTGATGGGTATCTTTGGAAAGTTAACCCCTATGGTAAGGGTAATAAAAGCAAAAATGAACACTTGGGATTACCTCAAATCAAAAAGCCTTACGCAGTAGGAGAGAAAAAAAATTAAAAAGATCCAACTGAATGGCAGCAAATATTTAGACATTACACAACTGATAAAGAGTTAATGCTATGAAAAATTTTTACATCCAGAAACATAAAAGCCACCCACTTAAATGGGTTCAGGCTCTGTGCAGACCAGACAGTTCACCAAAGGAAATGTCCATGTCAACAGGTTTAAAGAAAATGCTCATCAATGCTTCCGATAAGAGATGTCCAGGTGAAAACCACAATGAGTGTGGTGTAGTGACCCACTGCTGAGGTGTGGACCTATTCCCCTAAATCATACACAATGTTGTACACCAAAGTTATGCCCCCAAAAAAGTTAAAAATAAAACCACAGTAAGATGCCATCTCATACCTTGAACATGCACATATTAAAAAGACCTTTAATAAGTGCTAAAGAGAATATGGAGAAAGAGGAATCCTATTACACTGCTGGTGCTAATGTGAGCTGCTGCAGCTATAACGGAAATGATACTGATTGAAACTAAACATTGAAAATAACATTTGACCACCATCCCACACATCTATAAAGAAAGTGAAATCACCAACTTGAAGCTAAATGCTCTACAATATTTACTGCAACACTATTTACATATCTAGACATGGAAGCAACCTAAATGCCAACCGATAAAGACTGGATTTAGAAGATGTGATATAATCACATTTGTGGACTACTCATTTAGCCAGAAGGAAAAACAAAATGCTGCCATTTACAACAAAATGGAAAATATTTGAGGAAATTATGTGTTAATAAAGCAAGTCAGAATAATAAAAGATGAATGGTGGACATTAATAAACAGGTTTCTGAGATACAGAAGATTAAAGACAAGGTTATGAAAAAGTAAATGGCATTTTTTTTCTGTATCCTAAAAAACTGAGAGCAGGGTTTTGAAGCAACCCAAACATTTTAATAGATGAAAGGATAAACAAAATGTAGTATATACACATAGTAGTTTACTATTCACCCTTAAAAGGAAGGAAAATTTAATATATGCTACAAATGCATGACCCTCGAAGACACTATGCTTTAATACCAAGTGAAAATAAGTCATCCTCAAAACTACTGTATGGTTCTACACTATGCTTTAATACCAAGTGAAAATAAGTCATCCTCAAAACTACTGTATGGTTCTATTTATACGAGGTACCTCAAATAGTCAAATTCATAGAAACACAGAACAGAATGGTAGTTCTAAATGGCTGCAGGAATGGGTAGTTATTTAATGCGTGTGGACCATTACATCAGAGTTCTGAGGGTAACTAGCTCAACAATATGAATGTACATAATGCTAACTGAACTGTACACTTAAAAATAGTTAAGGTGGTAAATTTGTGTATTCTACCACATTAAAAAAGAAAACAGGTAGCATTAAGGCTCTAAGTAGCAAAATTTCAGGTAACACTGAAGGCTGACTGAAAAACTAAGCAAATGCCTGGCCATAAGAAATCAACTACAGAAAGTCAGACCAATTGCTACTTAAGCTCCTGTAATAGTATATACCTAAATAATGTAAGTCACGTTTAAAATTTTCAGTTTCTATTTTACCTATTACTACCGACCGTTGATTGTCATACATTTTTTGATAAAAGGTCAGATAGTAAATATTTTAGATACAGAAGCCTAAGAGGCAAAAGTTAAGGGTATTATATAAGAACTTAGAAGAGAGAAAGTTGCACAAATTTTCATTAATAAAAAATATGACAACTAACCAATTTTTTATGACATAGGCCAACTTATGAGAATGGAATCCCTCATGGGATAAGGTTTTGCCTTGAGGTTTCTGATTCATCAAAATTAATTGAGAAGGTTCATCAATGAGCACTAATCTGTAAAGAGATTTTACCCCCTTCAGCTACTTGAAATAGAGTATCTAGTTAAGGCCAATTTGCTCTTGTTTCATCAGTAACTGTCCACCTTTCCAGCAGATACTAGTGGCTAATCCTCAAGGACACATCTTGAAAGAAAAGTGAATTTTATTTCTAGAGTGCTACAGCCCATAAACTTTCTTCCAGAGAAGCTGAAGAAGAGCTAAAATATAAAATGTCATCTACCTTTATTAGATAAAGGTGACAGGAAGGCATCTTGCATTTGTGGTCCATGTGATGAGACTGTGTCTATCTCTGGATGGGCTGGGCCAACATTGCCAAGCCAGCTTTGACTTCGTTGGACATTAGAGACTCCAGCGTCTAGTTCAAGGTTTAAAAATGGGTCAGCTGATTGCGACTTTAACAGCTGCTCTCCCACTGCAAGGTAGTTCAAAAACAAAATAAATGGGAGAAACTTAAGATGGCACACTGTCATTTCCAATTCATCTTAAGCTTCTCTCACTCCCAATAACACCCAAATGTGAAAAGTTCTAAGTCAATTTCTGTCTCCCACTACCTCATCTACCCATAAACCAAGGATGCTGGATTATTTAAAAAAAAAAAAAAAACAACAACAACAAAACCATCTAACTACATAACACCATCTAGCAGTCATACCACTACCAGAACTAGGCAAAAACATTACTCTGTTCATTTTTTAAAGTTATTTTTCCTTAGATTTTAACATAAAAGACATTTCCAAATACCATAAGAAAAAGGTTTTTGTTGAAAAATTCCATAAATATAAGTGGAACATCTGCTTCCTTTTTTCTTTAAAAGATCTGAATTTAAACACTATCGTTTTTCCCTCACCTAAATAGTTGCACTTTGTCCTAGTAGAGAAGATGACCCAAGATTATTATTTTTTTTTTTTGCTAGTTCCCTGGAGTGAATCCTTTCAGTTAAGTAACAATGTAGCTTATTGTGAGGTCCCTTTCTGGCTAGCTCTGAAACACTGTCCCACAATAAGCTAAGTGTGGTAGTTTTTTACTTAGCTAGTTCAGGTTATTGAAGATAACCTGAGGTAACTACAGTCATATATTTTAAGTTAGAATTCAAGGTGCCAGTACTTAAAGACATAGGTTCTCCTTTGTATACACCCTTGGCCAAATAGTGGCTATTTTAACTACTATTCAAAAAGTTGGCTTTATTTTCTCCTGAGTTTAGAATGAAAAGACTTTAAGAACTACTAACAAACATTAAGTTTATTCCAAATAAACTTACAATTCTCCCTTAATGAAAATACAGTTCTCCCTGTGCAAGTGACACAGTCTATGTTACCTGTTCGGTATTTTCCATTCTTGAAAGGAGAACTGATAGAAGAGGCTGGGATAATGGGAAGTGGCCACAAAAAATCTTTGTGGAGTCTCTTCAGGGCTATCACAAAGTTATCTACCCGGGCAGCCCGGGTGCGTTCCTTGCACAGCCAGCTAATAAGTTCAAAGCCCAGCTGGGCAGCAAAACAGCCAAGGTCCTTTAGGCGAACTTCTTCTAAGAGGTGCCGAGCATGTCTCCAAAGCATCATATCAATATACATGTTCTCAGCACAATCGCTGTCTTTGCTCCATCTGTAAGTGGGAAGGAATATAAGAAAGGTACAGAACAGTCTTTATTCTGAGGATATCATATTCTTTATGCAGTAGTGCTGATAATGCTGGCAAGGTGGTAAGAGATCCAAGATTTCTGATTGAAGAGAAATTTAAGTATCAAGGCTCCTCCATGTGATACCAGGATTCACTGGATTATACAGAGCTGGCTCTTAAAACACATATATGGGCACACCTGCATACCTCATTTTATTGAGATTTGATGACATTTGTATTTCTTATAAATCAAAGGTTTGTGGCAATCCTGTGTTGAGTACACCATTTTTTGAACATCATGTGGCCAACTTCTGTCTACATGATCGATTTAACTATGAGATTTATATATATATATTTCTTTTAAACCTGAAGCTAGTGCACAATAGACTAGAGTGAAAACATTAATTTTTTAAAAAAGAATGATTTATGCATACAGAACTGGGGTACAGGCCAGAGGTGCAGGGGTGGTGAGAGGATTCACCAGAGACAGGGTGGGGGGCAGAAGAGGCAAATTGACGGAATACACTGCTGAGGGGAACAGCGGGCTGGTCAGGAGATATCTGCCTTGCCATCTGGATCACCTCTGGGGCAGGGATTGAACTCATGCTGAAGTGGCTTTAGCTTCTTAGTGCTGTGCTTCAACCTGCTGCACCACCAGGAAGGGCCCTGTTAACATCACTTTTATATGCACTGGCCAACAAAACCGTTTGCATGACTATTTCGATATCTGTTTCAATGAGATCGTCTGGAACTAAACCTACAGTATTTCCAAGGTGAGTCTGTACAAGGAATAGGGAAAAACAGGAGACAAAGCCAAACCAGAAAAAGAGTGGTGACTAGTTTAAAAAAAAAAAGTGAAATAAATGTAGTACTTGAAGTGACCAACTAAAATAGAGACAATCAGATCAAAGAAAGTTTAAGGACAGAAAACTCTCCATGTGAGTTGCATAGACAATTTTAAAAACGCCAATTTTTAAAAATTAACGACTACTAAATATGTCATATTATCCTTATTCTTGAGCTCATATACTCATATACTGTAATTGGTTTGATAACTGAGGAATGTGGCCAATTCAGATCTTGGCTCAATGTGAACATAACTAGGTTTATATTTCGGGCATCTGTTTTTTTTACCTTTAAAGTGAGGGTAACAACAATCTTACAGAGTTGTTGCAAGAATTAGAAGACCCGCACATGTAAATGCTCGGAATGGTGCCTGTTACTGTATTAGCCAGCATTTAAAATTCACAGGATGGCTGAAAAGTTACTGTTTAAAGTTACTGAAAAATTACTCCATAGTCCTCCACAGTTTCATTTTACTGCTATAGAGCTCATGACTGTGTGTGCATATTGGAGACAGAAGTGATATTAGTGAAAGAGCAGTAAGACATCCTTATAAACAATGTTCAATAAGCCTTATGTGCCACGTTCTGTAGTAGAATACAAACGTTACGTAAAAGGGAAGAGAAAAAAAAAAACAAACCCTTAAGAACATAGGATGTAAGGATCCCAAACACAAGAAAATTCAATTTCATAACGTTCAGTATTCATAGTTTCTTTAAAGGAGACAATAACCCATCTATGGGTGATGGATTATGGACATTTCAAGTCTCTGGAATACACTTCTCTCTTGCCTTTTCCACTGTTTAATGACTCCTTCAATCAAGAATCAGAAGAGTCTAGCAGATGAAAAATACATTCTGATTTTTTTGTAAAGAGGTATAGCTGGATTTATGTAAGCAGCTTCTGGATTAACTGTAGATTTAGCTTCCTTATTTATCAGGCCCTCTATTCTAAGATATTGGTAATTTAAAGATGCCATTCAAAACAGGTTTATAAATACCTATTCCAGAAAAAGGAGAAACTGTACAAAGACTTTGGAGGAATGTTTTGTGACTAAAAAGGAAGGATTAGAATGAATAGTTGATTTTCATAAGACTCAAATTTACAAATGCCATGAAATGAAAACATCACAGAAACCTCAAAAAAGCAGTGATGTCTCTTTTCTCTTACCTTTTTCCCGAAGAACCAGATGGCATACTTAGCGTTTTCTGCAAGCTGAATTTACTAGCAGGCACATTTTCAGCTGATTGGGACAAACTGATGCTTCGATTCCTGAAGAATTCAAATCCACCACTTGAACTAGGTTCCTATGATTATACACAATAGGCATTACAGTCAGAGAAAACCATGTAGGTGTGTATGTATAGCAACTGCAATTTTGCAACTAACCTGAGCTGTAGGCGTGGATGGAGGTGTTTCAGATTCTCCAGAGCCAATGGCTTTAAGAAAGCGAATCATGTGTCGACATAGGTCCCACTTGCCTTGTTCCAGGGCTGTATTGAATAGAAGGGTAGCATGCTGTCTACTTACTGCTGGGACTTCCATATTCTACAAAAATAAGACAAGCCTTTCTTTAGTACTAAAAATTATTTGGGAAGACATGAGTAATTCTTTATTGCCTAAACTCAGATAAGAAATGCAGCTACTGTACAACAGGGATTAATGCAATAGTAAGATTAAAAGGAACATTAAAAATGAGGAAAATAGGGTCCTCCCTGGTGGTGCAGTGGGTTAAAGCACATCACTAGAAGCTAAAGCCAGTTCAGCATGAGTTAGATCCCTGCCCTGGAGATGACCTACATGGCACAGCAGACCAATCCTGACCCACCCACTGTTCCCCTCAGAAGCCGGTTCTGCTCCCCATCCTGTCTCTGGTGAATCCTCTTACCGCCCCTGCACCTGTATGCATAAATAAACCTTTTTTTAAAATGAGGAAAATATTCTACTGGTGTTATAAAAACTGGTGTTAATGAACTCCCATTACATGCCAGATTTCTTACATAAATCTTACATACATCCTTTTGTTCCCCTAGTGACTCTGCAAAATAGATGAATCATTCCCATTTCAAGATGGTGGGAAGTCCAGGGGGGTTGCAGCCAAGATGAAAAAGCATACATTTTATGGCCCTCCCTGGTGGCGCAGCGGGTTAAAGCACAGCACTGAGAATCTAAAGCCGCTTCCACATGAGTTCGATTCCCGCCTGCCCCGGAGGTGACCACATGGCGTGGCAGACCCCCTCCTGACCCGCCCGCTGCTCCCCTCAGCAGTGTACTTCGTTGATCTGCCTGTTCTGTTCCCCACTCTGTCTCTGGTGAAGCCTCTCGCCGCCCCTGAGCCTCTGGCCTGTACCCCAGTTCTGTATGCACAAATAAATAAATCTTTAAAAAAAAAAAAAAGCATACATTTTACAAAAATGAAGAATATTGTTTGGAGAAAAAAAAAAGGACTCTGAACTAATTTGATAAGATCAGCAGAAAAGCAAAAGCATAAATGTAGGTTTCGTCTTTTCTATAGCTGTGTTTTATGAAGATGTGACTAATAAATAACTTTGCTTTGGGAATAACAGTAACTATATTGAAATATAGTCAGCATCCTCATTTCCTTTAGACACGTTTAATTGACAAATTACTACTTTTCTACCAACTTAGAAATTCCGATAGGGAATTTTCTACTTCCATTTCTTGGGAAATTACTGAACATCTATTAGTGACCTAAAACAAAACCAACTGCATTAATTCTGTTGCTTTAGTTACAATTCTGCAACTTTCTCTCATGACCATTCAGCCCTCCTTGAAAATTTATGAACTGTCATGAAGCAAAAGAACTGAAGGGTAATCTGCTTCAGGCAGTGTCACTAGCAATGAAAAGAACACTGCAGTAAGTGAAAAGAACCTTTAAATGTCTCAAATCTTCACCAGACCAATAGGAATCATAACTTAGCAAGCTCTTTTGTCAAACCGATGATGAAACAAAATTTCAAATCTTTTTTAAGGAGCCCACTAATTTGAGGAAAACTCTGCTACAGAGGTAATTACTGTGGTGGTGATGCTCTCTGCTTGCTCTGGGGAACCTAATATAAGGTGTTGTGTTATGACCCAAGTTTTAATTAGAATCAGCAATTCCACATTACAAGGAAACTATTATTGCTGTGGCTCAAACCCACTAATTTACTTAATATCATTGTGCTTCATCTGTGATATTACAATAATATGAGCCTATTATGACATGTATTATGATACGTATGCCTTTTTAATCTTACTCAAATAATATAAACTGACCCAGTTTGAGGCTCATTTATGGACAAGAGGACTTTAAAAACCCTGAAGTATTACTTTATGAAAATGAAGTTTTCAACCACCATTTAATAAGACAATGAGTTCTTCAAACAAAAAAAAGATAAAGTGAGCAGAAAACTTGACTATTAAAATCCTTCACACACTCTCACTGAGAAAACAGGACATCTAAGTGTTAAGTTCCTTAATTTTTAATGCCATTATGAGAAAAGAACTGTTACCTGTAAGATAATAAGGTAAGAGGCAGCTGTATCTAAATCCTGAGCCATCAAACATTCCTCAAACAAGTCCTTGGGGTTTCCAACAGCTGCAAAAAGGTAATTCCACAGGGCGTATTCAGTCTTCCTGGCACAATGAACTACTGTCTGCAGGAAGAGGGGGAATTCGGTGATAAATTTTGCCACAGTAGGAAGTAGAGGATCGGGAATGGGCTCCCGTGAGGTAGCTTCTTCTTCCAGCACTTCATGAAGCATGAGCTCTAGAACATGAGGGAAGTAAGGTAGTGTAGCACATGACTGGGCTAAGAGCAAGGCCTGTTCCCCCAAGTTCCTGACCAGCAGCTGACGTAGGATGTGGTGGAGGTAGATCTGAGAGGTTCTCTCCACAACACAGAAAGGGAAGAGCACCTCCAGCTGTTCCCTAGTACTGTTCCGGGTATACAAAGAATCATAGAGTAAAGTGTCATTGACAGCACCAAGGACCAATGCATCTTCAAACAAAACAGCTAGGGGATAAATATTGATGTGGAAAGGCAGCATGATCCGCTGTGACAAGAAGGAATGGGGCTTGCGGTGATCTCTAGGGAAGAGAGGCAGCCAAACTTTCATTCCGGCACCACCACAGCTCAGCCAGAGGGCCTCCAGAAGGTGTCGCTTTTGTTTACTTGCTCGGCATGTAGTCCAAACATTTTCAACAGACTGGGCAAGTACAACAGGAGGACAGAATGGCAGCTGGAGAATAAGAGACAAGAATCAGGTTTTTTTTCCTCTTAAATTTGCAGGCTCTTAGGTTATCAGATACTAGTACCCCTATATCTTTCAAAGTGATAATGTTTTTGGGAAAATTAAGGAACTCTGTTTAGATTTAAGAGTTGGTAATAATACCTGTGTATTTAAACAAACAACAAAAAACCAACTCCTACCTCCCCAACTTCACTGAATTATCCTATTTTCCCATTAAAATCTGCAAAATAATGGCTGAGCATTAACATTTACAATACTGAACATTTTACTATTTTAGGATCTTATCCTTCACCATTCACAGAATGTCTTCCATTCAGAGATTTAATGCTAATATCATGTAATTTCTTAGTTTTCCAACCACAAAACAATACTCTCCTTCTCTGAAATTCCTTTATCCTTCATTCTAAATGTTCTACATGACTTCTGTTTTACTTACAAGTTTCCTTTGGTTAGGGTTATTATCCTTCTCTCGGATCTGAGGGCCTGATCTGTCCCTCTGCATCATGATAAGCTGTCCTGCAAGATTTAACATAATGCTCTCTGCATCACGAGCCTGAAAGGAAAATAAATTCAATTCATACTAATTTTATGTATGTTTTCAGCATTTCCCACTCAATACACAGATTACAGGTTCAACAACTGACATTACTTATTAAGTGTATACAACATACAGTCATTATGCTATGCTCTGAGGGTCTACAGGGTAGAACAAACTTCACACAATGCAATTACTGAATAGTACAAGTAAACACAAAATGAAGGTAAAGCTAAATTATCTTAAAATAGCTAAAGAATTTTTTTTAAGAGAATGTTTTTACTTAAACAAGTGAGAGATCACTTCAGTGATCTAATTGGCATAGCTACAGAAGTCTTGAAGGGTGAGGAAAACATATATGAGTAGAAGGTAAGGGGCTGGCATTTTAGTCAAACTATACAATATAAATGACACAGAAGTGAGATAAGGTAAAGTATTTCTTTGGGAAAGTGTGAACAATCTGATTAGGGACACTATGAGAAAAAAGCTGATGGGTAACAAACCTTCATGGATAACTTCAAAGAAGGTAAAAGAACAGCAGGAAATAAGCTAGCTGTGTTTCTTGAATGGAGTTATTTAAAAAATCTAGTTATTCAGGGTGGGTTACTTGGGAGAGGCAAACCTCCTAGTTAGTGATTTCAGGACTGAAGGAAATATTCTCCCTTTTTACCATGGAAAATTTCAATCAAATCCCAAAAACATCAGTCTAGAATAATGACTTCCCAATATACAATCCTATCACTCAACCAAGTTTGAGAAACATTGTTTTAGTCATTCCTATAAACCAAGTTATTTTCACTTGTAAAGAGAAAGGACATATGTTAAAAAAACAAACCAAAAAACTTGCTAGTATGATAGCCTAAATATGAAGCGTAGAAAATCTATGTGCTACAGAAATGGAGTTAGAAGTTAGGAGGAGCAATCAGTTTACAGAAGGGAAAACTGAAGAGTCTCACTTTACTGCCCATTGAATTTGAAAGTATCTTAAGATTTTCAAGTAAAAATATTGTGAGGAGCCCTTCTCGGTGGCACAGATGGTTAAAGCACAGCACTATGAAGCTAGCCCCAACTGCTTCAGCATGAGTTCAATCCCTGTCCAAGGAGGTGACACACATGGTGCAGCACACCTCTCCTGATCTGCCCACTGCTCCCCTCGGCAATGTACTTTGTCAATCTGCCTGTTCTGCTCCCCACTCTGTCTCTGGTGAATTCACACCTCTGCACCTCTGGCCTACTTCTGTATGCATAAATAAATAAATCTTTAAAAAAAAAAAGTTGTGAGAGATGACTGAAACAGACATGAATTTGCCAGAATTGTACATTAAAAAGTAAAGCTGGCAAGATGAAGGAAAAAGTTGAGTTTCCTTAAAAAAAAAATACAAGGAGTAAAAGAGTTTAAAGGGCATCATCTGAAATTTTGAAGGCAAATAAGAAATAAGAAAGCACAGTATCAGATAAAGAAATTTTAGGAAATAGGACTAATGAGAAGTCATGTATCCCAGCTTTTGACAAATGTTGGTTTAAAAATTTAAGTTGGCAATATCATTTAGAGTTCTGTCAAAGAAACAGCAGTTACCTATGTGTTCTATCTAAAAAAGTCATTAAAAAAAGTTTTTTTCCAGTTTTTAGGTACTAAAAGTGTTTTTGTATGACAATGCAATAGAATAAGGTTCAGAAAATTTATGGACTTTGTCATTCGTTCCTATTTTTAGAATACATCCAAGAAAGTAGTGTGTATAAACTATTGTTAATTTATAAAGAAGTCAACATTAAAAAACCCACAACATTTCTAAAACTTCCATGAAGCCCAAAAAGTACTTGTAAAGAAGTCTTCATTTCCTCATTCAGCACATGATGCATCAAAACTAAAAATAGGACTATCTACCCATAATACACAAGAAACAGCAAGTAATTTGCAGGTATGATAAAGAAAAACTAGAATTCAAAAGATGTGAGGGAATTATACAGACTAAACAAGAGGGCAGAAAGAAGAACACCTCCACCTCAACACAGGAATGAAAACAGCACGACAATTTGCTCAAAGGAAAATTTAGAAATTCACCAAAAGAATCCTAGGACTTTCCCACAATGGACTTATATGGAAGTCAGTGACTTCCTGAAGGGAATGAAAGGGAAGAGAGAGATGAAAGTATGGTGGTTAGATACCCAAACTAGCAGAACAGGCTGGGGGTTGGCTACCCACAGTAGGATCGGGCACTCCAGGGCACTCCAAAATTTCCCTAGAAGGACTTTTCAGAAAGAATGTGTAGTCAAAGGTCCAACCTGGGACATGGGAATTTCACAATTGGCTCCAACAAAAAAATTACTCTCCCAGCCCTCCTTCCCAGAAGATAACAAGAGTAACCAAATGGAGCCAAACAGGACTCCACTACCAATCCAGCAGTAGAGGAAAGGACTGGTAAACAAGAACTCACCAAATCCCTTGGAAGTATCAAGCAGGCATGCAGAGCTTGCCACTCAGGTCCGCTGGAGACAGGAGAGCAGCAATGGGGCTGCTGTGGCAGTCATGTGCACAAACCCTGCTGTAGGGCCTCTTACACGTAATGCCCAACTTAGTCCTGGAAGGTGAGCCTCATGGACCAGGACTAGTGCCTCTCACCAGGAGACTCAAACTTCTTAGATACTGATTTGCAGCAGTAAGGAGCAGCAGGGAAGTGGGGTGGGAAGTTAGGACAAGTGAAGTACTGAATAGAGCTTGCTGTGGAGAGAGGAAAGTAGGCAGAGGTAAACAACCTCAAACCTCACGCAACAAAACTGAGACCTTGTATCAAAGTACTGTACTGTAAGCAAAACAAAACCTGCAGTACTGCAACCAGAAAAAAAGCAAATAAGGTAACACACATGTCCAGAAAGCAATGGACATCTGAACACAAGATGGAAAAGCAAGATGAGAAAAACAGAAGTTCTGGGACATATATATAATAAATACAGAAACAGAGGACCTATATGACAAGGACTTCAAAATGACAATATTAAAAATACTAAATAAGCTACTGGACAGCCAAAGGCAGATAAATAGGTGTACAATCTTAGAAAAGAGCTCCATGAACAACTTCTTCACCAAAAAGACTGAAAATGTTAAAACACAAAGAGATTGAATGAAATAAAATCAAGAAAGGCACTTTTATTAGAATTAAACTGGCAGAGGAACAAATTTTAGAAATAGAAGACTCAACTGTGCAAGCTACTTAATTACAAAAACAGATACACAGAGTAATCACTACACAAAATACCAGACCCAATAAATTAATTTTTCAGACCCAGTTATACAAGAGGAAATATAAGAGTAATGAGTATTCTACAAAAGTGAGGAGAGAAAGGAAAGAGACTATTTAAGGAAATAACAGCCGAAAACTTCCCAGACCTAATGAGTGAATTAAGCAGGATGCCTTGGAAGAGGAGACCCAACTCCTCCTAAATGCAAAATAACCTACACCATGACATATTATTATTAAATTAGCTAAAATCAAAGAAAAAAATTACAGAATGCTAAGAAAAAGGTAATTTACAAAGGCACCCAAGTTAGGCTTTCTTCAGATTTTATCCCAAGAACAATTATGCAAAAAGAGGCTTTCCCAGACAAACAGAGCTGCCTTACAGGAAATGCTGAAAGGAGTTCTTCTATAAGAGAAAAAAAAAAAAAAATTCTGAGCAAAAATGACAGTAAGAATACATCAAAAACTAGACCAAAATACTCCCTGTCTTCAACAAAACAGTACAGGGAAGACAAAAATGGAAAGAACCTGAAAGTAAAATGTCAGAGCAGACACCAGCTCAATAGTTATTTACAGATACAGTGAATTACGCATAACCCATGGTAACCACTAACCAAAATCTAGAATAGAGGCTCACTAGAGAAAACAAAACAATCAACAGATTAACAAGGGAAAGCCATCCAGAAAGATCATTGTGAAACAAGTAAAAAAAAAAATGTAACAAAAAAATTCATAAATCAAAATCAGAATGACTAAATATAGTATTTACTAATAATCACCCTAAATAATGATCTGATTTTCCCAATTAAAAGGTACAGAATGACATAGGGTTACAAAGTTTTATCCTCCTGTGTTTTCTGTACAGGAGGCCCATTTAAAACCAAAAGGCAGAAACAAAGTGAAAAATTAGAACAAGGCCAAACAAGTCAATACTGAAGAAAAGCAGGAACTGCTAATCTATCAGATGAACTAGACTTTCACCCAAAAAAGGTAATTAGGGACAAAGATGGACACTATTTGATGATCAAGGGGACAATTCATCAAACAGATATAACTTACTTATATGTACCTAACACGGGCAACTAGTTACACAAGGCAACAATTAACAGACCTAAAGTAACACACTGACAAAAATATTATCATTATGGAGAACTCTCATTCGCTGTTGGTGGAAATATGTGAAAGATATCAGATGGTTTCATTCATGTGTGGGATATAAACAAGGCAAAAAAAAATTACACAAAATACAGCTGCAACAAATCTTGTACTTTGTAAATTTACTGGTTACCAGAGGGAACAGAGGGGAGGAAAGAAAGTGGGGGAGGACAGAAGAAGGGAGTACTGGCATGGCGGTCAAATGTAGGGTGCGTGGAACATGTACACATGTATATGTAAAGATATAACCCCAAAGTTAAATACAAAGAAATCCTAAATTTGAAGGAACACCCATTTCTTATTTTAGGAAAAACCCGAGCAGATGACCCTCCATGTATTCGGAGAGGAAGTATGCTTTTGAAGGAAGCTATCTTAATATTGAATAGTTTTCATTGTTGCTTTGTAATTCTTAATTATGAAATCAAAACTAGCTTTGCTGTAATAACTGTGGTGTTACCATTGTGCAAGATGTAATCAGTCTATTTCCTACTTATATTTTAATTATTTTTTTAAAGATTTATTTATTTATTCATATAGAACTGGGGTGTAGGCCAGAGATGCGGAGGGTAAGAGGATTCACCATAGATAGAGGGGAGCACAACAGGCAGATCGACGAAGTACACTGCTGAGGGGAGCAGCGGGCGGGTCAGTAGAGCCATGTGGTCACCTCTGGGGCAGGAGGGGCTCAAACTCATGCGAAGTGGCTTAAGCTTCTTAGTGCTGTGCTTTAACCCTCTGCACCACCAGAGAGGGCCTAATCATTTTTCTTTTTAAGATGCATTTCTTTTATCTGTAAAGAACTGGGGTACAGGCCAGAGGTACAACGTGGGTGAGAGGATTCACCAAAGACAAAGTGGGGAGCAGAACAGACAGAATGACTGAAGTACACTGCTGAGGGGAGCAGCAAACAAGACACTGTGGTGGTCACCTCACAGGCTGGGGATTGAATTCACACTGAAATGGCTGCTGATAGCTTCATTGTGCTGTGCTTTATTTAACCCATTTGCAACCACCAGGGAGGGTCATAATTCTTTTTCTTAATCTGCTCTTGACGAAGCTAGAATCCCTTCTTTGAACAAGCTGATGCCACTGGTTGTCTACTCTATATCTAAGACATTTAAGGACCGAGCCCCCCTATCGAAATTTCCAATACAATCAGAAGAACAATAAAACTCCATATACCCATCATTCAGATTCATAATTAAGATTTTGCCATATCTGCTCCATCTATTTTGAGTTCATTTTGCCAAGTATTTTAAAGAAAGAGATTGTGCCATTTTATACCAATATACTTAATGTGTAGGTGAGCTATATTGCTATTTGCTTGTTTATAAAACCATGTTTATATAACCATCATACCTAGTAAACTTATATTCCTTATTATCAGCTCAGTCCATATTTAAATATTTATAACTATTTTAACCTTTTTTAGAAATAATTTGAATAGGATACAAATGAATTCACACACTACATTGAGTTGTTAAAGTTTTTTTAGTCTTATTCATAAGAATCTCCTCTTTACCTTCATATTATTGACTTGTAGCTGCTTTATCAAGTATTCCACATTCTATTTTCTTACAGTGTTAAATTTAAGTTTCTTTTCCACTGAATGACGAAACTCTAGAGCCTTATTCAATTCAGGTTAAATATTTTTTTGTAGTAACTCTACAGCTGAACTCCAATGGGTTGTATCATCCCAGGAAGCATGCCACCTTTGGTTCTCCTACTTTTAGTGACTTAAGTATTGATTAAACAAGGTTTTGTTATGATAACCTGACTCCTGCTTTGTAAAAATTCCCCATTGAGTTTTCACTTCATTGTTTCATTAATAATTATTATGGCTTGAATTCAGTTATTTTCTCAGGGCTGCAAAATAGTGACTATTTAATTCTTATATCCTTCAATCTTTTACCTCCATCTTTCTGGAAAACAGAATTTTCTCTTAAGTAGGACTATCTAGTTATAAAAAATATAGTTTGCAGAGGAAATAGGACATGTATTTTAAAGGAGAACAATCAAATGCCTTACTAATAGGAAGTAAAAGACTGAGTAGGCAGAAATGATTAACCTACACAGAATTTTCTTTTGAAAATGGGTTCTGCATTGACATAAAATCTGGAAACCACTGGTGGAAAGGGGCTTGGAATAGGAGGTGCTGCAACCTGGATAACGGTGGCATCACAAAACACCCACTTACATTTACCATAAATTAGGGGATTTTTTTTTCTTGACTCATAATTAAACAATCAGGGAATCCACTATAGCTTATGTTCATTCCACTTTTTTCATTTTGTCATTGCACAAGTTTGGCCCACTAACACCATTAACCTAGAGTTTACGATGGCCTTCCAATTTGTTTCCCTGTGTTTACTTTTCTCCTACTCTAGTTCATTTTCCTTCTTATAGAGTATATTGTTACAAAGCTTAGATTCAATAATACCTAGCTCAAAATACTTCAGGTTTTAAGATGAAGTCTAAAGTCAATGATAAGACTGATGCTGTCTCATATTCTAGTCTTTCCAGTCACTCTGAAATTCTTCTAATTCCCTAAATGTGCCATGTTCTCTCCTGTCTATTCAACTCTGTACCACTGTCTTTTTACTTAAATAAGTGCCACTTGTTATAAAAAACTTGTTTCAAGTTCTGCATGCTTTTGTATATATAAAGTAACATGTATTACTTTCTAGTACACACATCTGAACTACAATTAATTTCATATGTAACTATTTATTGTTTGAGCAGAAACCAAGTTTGTTTAGTTTGCTACTATAATACAGCATCTCCATATAGTGTACCTTCTAGTCATTTAATATTTGCTAAACAAATAAATAGTTCTTGATACCAAGTAAAAACTAAGGAAAAGGAAAAAAACACAAAAAAGCTTTGTTAAAGGAATGGTACCTGCTGTGGCATTTTCAAGGTGATTCCATTCTCTGTACTCACTGATGTTAGAGTGACAGATACTACCAGGAAAGGGTGAGGAATGTAGCGTGACATTGAGACTTCTTGAAGAACTTGAACACCAGCAGTAGTATTTGGACTGCCCAACAATAAATAAGTACATAAAGTAAAAAAAAGAAACCATACACTTCAACAACAATGGTAACAAGGCTTAATTTTCACTTTTCTGCTACTGAAAGCATTAGAGTTCAAGCTTACAGAAGGATCAAATGCCTTATACTAATCACCTCTCCTTAAAGCATCTTTTTGAATTCTTCTAGACTAACAAAAGCATTCAAAGAACATAAATTGAAATGAGGGAGAAAGGGCACTTATAAGGGCAGGGAAAACAAAACAAAACAAAACACTAGGGAAGCATCTATAGGAAAAAGAAATGAGGGGAAAAAAGGATAAGGGTCCTGACTCATTAAGATTTTTTTTTATTACTCTTCAATTACTAAGCTTCTTCAGCAATTACAAATTTTATGGTTGTTAAAACAAACAAAAAAAGAGCCAAACAGAAAATGAACATCCCAGAGCAAAACAAAACTCAACAATGTGATCTTGAATCCATCCAATCAACCAGATGCCAAGAATATAAATAACATAGCAGGCAACAACAGGACCACTGGTCTTTTCTGCTTTATGCTTCAGCCACCTAGCTCAGTGGAAATATGAGTCTGCTAAGGACAAGCATCCTAAAGCCTAATGCTGTGGAACGCCTTCAAATTTCCTCAGGTGTCTGGAACACCAGAACAGTTAGCAACCACTTATTTCCAAGGATGAAAAACAAAACAAAACAAAACAAAAAAATTAGTATATAAGGGTTTATCCATCTCAAACCACTTTTACAAATACAGTAAGATTAACTGCAGAAATCAGTACACAATCTTTCTTTTTAGGGTAACTAAGCTAAAAAATAACTACTACATGGATATTACTAATTAACAGTCATTGCTTTTTAAACTACTAAGATAATAGAAAAATACAAAGTTAGGATAACTATTTTGAGAAAATAAAAACTACAAAGAAAATAAGATAAATAAATAGGAATAAAATGTGGTTTGTAGAATGCCATATACTTACCCATCAGATTTTCTTTCAATACTGTAAAGGCATATTGTACAGTCTGCTTTAAATACTATTACCATGTCTCTAAAGACACTAAGCAGTAATGTTTCTGCTTGTGCTTTGGTGATGTGAGCAAAGGCATTGTCCAGATTTGATGTTCGCAAGTAAACTCTGAGCTGAAGATAAATTGTGAAAAACAAGATGACTACTGTGACATAATAAAACTATATTGATACCTACTCCAGTTCCTCGCAAAGAATTCCTGAAATCATTGTAACTTCCTAAGGAGAAGAGCACTGGAGCATCTCTTGTTCTGCATCTCTTATTCTAACTTGTCTTTGAGCTCGTTTCTGACATCAAGTTCCTAAATGTCCTTGTATCTTAAATGGTTAGACCACTACAAGTATCTTTTGTTCTGCTTAGGTAACTGTGTGGGCTCCTGAACGGGGCATGAGCACCAGAAAAAAACAATCCTTGATTAGAAGCTAGGAATTTTCAGCATTGTTTTTTTCTCCTACTTCTAAGACCCCACAGTTCTTCTGAGAGAGGAGAGGGGCTGGAAATGATGATTGATCATCTCTACACAAAGAAAACTTCATAAAATTCCAATAGGACAGCGTTTACAGAGCTTCGAGGTAGGTGAACACACGCATCTCAGGAGGGTGACACAAGTTCCTGTGCTTACGACCTTCTACACCATAAAGACAACTGTTCATATATACCCTTTATCATATTCTTCAAGTAACTGGCGAACATAAGCAAATGTTTTCCCAAGTTATGAAAGCCACCCTAGCAAATTAAAAGAACTCAAGAAGGGGGCAGTGGTCCTTAGAACCTATCTTTGTAGCCAGTGGGTGAGGTGGACAATGTATAACTGCTGGTCTGAGGGTGGAGGGCCAGTCTATGGTAATCAATCCTTAGTTTATGACAGCTGACAGTATCTCTGGGGAGACAGTGTAAAAAAATTGACTTACACTGTAGGGCACAAAGTTGGTTTTGCAAAGAATGGCTTGGTATGGGGATTTCATTATATGGTGACCAAAAATAAAGTGTTCTCTGTAGTAAAGAAGACACACACAGGAAGAGAAACAGTGAAAAACCTGGGGTTTTTCCCCACTTTCTGTATGTAAGAAAAATGCCCAGTTCTTCCCCGACACCTACCCTGGATGACTAAATATTTTTGACGAGTGTTTGTCTTCTTTTATTCAAGAAAAAGCTAAAAAAGCCATTAGTTGCAAACTAATGTGAGCAATGGTAATAAATGGATATCATATTAAAACAGGTTTATTTGAAAAGTAACCAAAACTATGAATGCATTATTACAGATATTCCTTTTAAACCTGCACACTTTAGACCTACACAAGGAGGTCCGTAGTTTCTCAAAAAAATAAACATACAAATCAATAAGGTAATAAACCTCTATTAACAACTATCTTTATACCCTTTCTACTTTTACACTTTTAATTTTTACAAGTTTTAAAAAGAATGCCTAAACAGCTAAAATCCTTAGAAAAAATTATCTAGAAGTCCTGATTAATCGTTGAAAAATTTTTAAGGGACTGGAAATTAAAGTCACATTTGTTAAAAATGCCAAATTCTTGATTAAAATGTTTTATTTTTCAACAGATTTTTATATAAGACCAAATAATGCTTAGTATCTTTAAAATAAAATGTTACTCCTTAGAGAGAAAAAACTTACCTCTTCTTGACGGTCACTTATGTTATAACATGCAAGAACAATAAAATCATTCCACCAGGCTAAGCCACCTGTCACAATCATATTTTGTTCCTTAAAAGAAAGCAAAATATTGACCTTTATTCTTCAGAAATAATCAGTACATTTATAAAATGTTTCTAAACAGATAATAAAAGGTCAAATTATTTCTACCATGCCCTCGCTCCCCAATTAACTATTACTTAAGGGCCTTTATTAATCATGAGTCATATCCTGTATTTTCAAAGTAAACCCTTTTACAAAAATAGAAAATACATCATGCAAAACAACTGATACCATGTAACATCATTATTCTTACAATCAGCACACATTAGTTTAAATTCTGGCTTTCTTCATTTATCCGCTGTTTGACTCTGAATTCTAGTCTGTCTTTTATAAAAAGATAAGAGTGCTGTTGTTGGGATGAGGTGAAGAGCAATGAAACAAAATATGTGAAAGTACCTTAAAGTATTTGGTTCACAGTAAATGTTTCTTTCCCTGATACTTGATTCTTGCAAAATCCAATCACATGTTTATATTCTACCCAAATAAATGCATACATACACATACATATATAGACAGATCTATATCTACCTATGTATGTATCTACCTAGATCAATTACACAGGTAAGCAGGGAGTGATCTCAAATTTTGTGGAAAACTATTCCGATCACATCTGAGCAACTTAATCTGAAATGTAATGTAATCCACAACTTAAAAAATTATAGTAATCTTAACAAAAATAAAAACAGCTCCCTAACTATAAAACCTTTTATCAAATAGCAAATTCTTTAACACACTGGACCCTTAGAACATCTACAATCTATATAAATTGTATTTTTTACAATTTATTTTAGTTCCTTTTTTATAAACAAACAGTGGTTTACAGTTATTTGATCTATAGTTCTCTTATTTTGAAAAGTGGGTTTTCAACTTCAAAAAGACTAACCTGTGTAATGTTTCCAAAAAGTTTCCATTTTTTGGTCAATAAAGAGTAATGTGCAAAACCAAACTTGCCAACCACAGCAATATTCTGTCCAAGTTTATCAATAGCTGAAAACTGAAAAAAAGAAAATTAAGAACTCTTCCTTGTAAATCTATGGATATCATGTAAGAGTTTAGTTTTGTGTCAGGCAAACAGACTAGGGTAGTAACTCACCCGTATAGGCCAATTGCTCTCTAGATAGGTGCTGGAAATCTATAGAAAATAACATCAATTTGGTAAGATTTCTGAAATGTATTTCAAGTTAAAGCATTAGCATCACAACAGGGCATTCAATTTTCTGAAAATGTTTATTACAGTGCTACCAAGTAGCAGTGTACTTAGAATTCCATTTGTATACCAGCCAGTAAGTATTTTAATCTCTCCAATTTTAACAACTTTTTTGTTTCTAAATACCTTTTTTGCTACGCTGTTTTGTTTTAAATATTGATCAATAAATACAGACTGACAAAAGCATTTTCAATAAGCACCTAAAAGGGCAGCTGACCTGAACAGTTTGGGTTTATAAAGTTGAACCACCCCCTAACAATTTTATTTAATAAAAGCTTCAGCAAGAATTATGTTTTGTAATGAAACTATTTTTATATACTTTTCTGATTAAGAAGTAATACAAGCCTACAAGATTTCAACAGAGGCCTCTCTGGTGGTACAGGGGTAAAAGACACAACATGAGTTGGATCCCTGGGCCAGCCTGGGAGGTGACCCACATGGCACAGCAGCCCTCTCCTGACTGATCTGCTGCTCCCCTCAGCAGTGTATTTCAGTACATCTTCTGTTCTGCTCTCCACTCTCTCTGGTGAATTCTCTCACCTCCCTACACCTCTGGCTTATACCCAGAGGCATATTCTTGTATGCAAAAACCAAAAAAATATTTAAACAATTTAAAAGTGTGCAAACCACAAAATGAAATTATCCTGTTTTATCACTGCTCAAGGATAATCACTGATTTTAATTTTACCTATAAATACTCATATATACCTGTAAGCGTATTTATAAACTACTCTTTTTAAATGGGGTATTTTACTTAGTATTCTAAAAGAACTCTTATCACAGATACTGACTTTATCTGCAACATAAGTACTAACTGTATCTTCCCATACTGTCTGTCTTATTCATGGTATCTTCATATCACTCTAGCAAGAATTTTAAACATAAAAGAATCCTCTGTAAGACATCAATGTAAATTTGGTAAATTCTAGCTTTGTCTGAGACTGTGGTCTTTCTACTAGCCAGCTGAGTTTTCATGATCACATAGTGAGTGTGGAGTGAAGATTAACAGAATGACAGGGAAGAATCTTCTGTTGCTGAAATAAGAGAAGCTTTGATTTATTCAAATTTATTTCCAATTTTACTCAAAGAAACACTTAAAAAAACAAAGTCAATTAATATACAATAAAATCTATAAAGTCCTTTATGCAATGTGAAGACAAAATGAAAGTAAAATAGTATGCTTCATAATACAAAACAGCATCAACTGTGATAAATTTATTAAAAAAGCTATTCGTTAGATTTCACTTATTAATCAGTTAACCTGAAGTCTATGTAAATTAACAGTTCTTAGCACTTAGTTCTTAATCTCAGTACTGACTTATAAAAGCCTGTTTTATAGAATTACAGATAACAGTGTCATGATATATGACACTTGAAGAATGTGTAATATATATTTAACAGATCTGCTATATCATTAATAAAATTCATTGTGATTGATGAAATTAGCTCAGAACCATGGTAACCTAAGGTAATAATCAGGTAGTAAAATAAAAGTTGAAAGCAGTTTTTTGGGAGACTATAAGTGAAATTCTTTTGTATGGAGAAAAATAAGTAACCTGAAGAAGGATGTACCTAAGTATGATTGAGCCAGTTACATAAGACTTTTAAAATTAACTCCACAAACTGGTGGTGTTTTAGTTAGATATATATGTGGGTAAGTTATGGTAAGGGGATCTAATTGCCAAAGACAATTCCATAGTAAGAGTCTCTAACTATGGGAACCAAGGTTAAATCTTATATAGCCACAAACCTGAAGAATATCTATAGAACAACACAGTTTATTCTTTTTTAGCCAAAAGTGTGTGAGATTCCCAAAATATAGCTACTTTATTTTGAAAACTCAATATAACTTTTAAATGAAGCTTTATTTCTCATGCAGTTGGTTTTTTTTTTTTTTTATCTGAAGATGCTAGGAAAAAGAAAACAAAAACTTTTATTTTCCCTAGTAGGTCATCTCTATTTACCTTTGTGTCACCTGAACTTTGAGCTTTGTCTCTCATACTAAGAACAGAAAATGGTAGAAGAAAGAAACGGTTATGAATTATGAAGACACTCCAGTTATGACTGCATACTTATGGCACAAAAATCAAGTATACACTACTGGGAAACTAAGAGCTAAGGTACAGAATATCTACTCTTAAGGTCTTAGGATATTTCAGTTTCTGAAAGAACCTAAATTTACCTTCTTTATCTTAAAAGCATTCTGCCAAAAGCATATTCTCTTGCCTATATGCCTATATGACTTTTTGTCTAACTGGTGAGACTGTGAAGAGCCATTCTCCTAGTAGAATTGTCAAACCAGGTACATTGGCTACACACTGAGGAAATGTGGGCAAATTGTTTATACATGTTTGTTTTTCATTTTTCTTTCTGACATTCCTAATGTAGTTCCTGATACAGTTTAGGTGCCCATCTTCCACATTTTGTGAAGCTTATTCTTTCCAAATAGAGAGGCTAACAGTAACACCAACATTTTCAGAACACCTTTCAGAAATATATCATACAAGACACCGAGTATTAAATTAAAGTACAGAACAAGAAGGAACACCACCTAAAACCATAGGATGTTCACTTTTTAAACATTTCATGTTATTTTTGCTTTACCAACAAACTGCTTTCAAAATTTAAAAGGCCAGAAAACTAAATTTAAAAACCAAAAGCACAATCTATCAGCAGTAATTAACCCTACTTTTGAATAAGTATGTATTTGTATTGTTTTAGTTAAAGAAAAAAATAAAATCAATATACTCTCTGATCAGGAAACCAAGGGAGTATAAGTCAGAAGGCTTAAAAAAACAAAAAATGCAATAGTCTACATGAGAAACAGACAAAACAGCACAATTCAAGCTCATCTGATGACCTCCAAGCTATACAAGAAGTATACCAAGTATAAATCATGCCGTTACTCTGACGGAAATGTGAGCCATTTACCCTACAAGAGCATATACTGAAAGGAGAATTAAAGTACACACATAATTCTTCAGGGAATCATTTACTAATGTCTAAAAAAGCCTAGAAAATAAAATGTTAGTATTACACGGAGACTGTAAACCATCCTACCAAAACAGCACAAAATTACATTGATTCACATGCCCAGAGTGCGAGCAAACAAAGTAGAGGGCAACTCTAAGTTAAAAAATCATCAAATAGATTCTAAGTTTTAGCTCAAGATCAGCAGTATATCATATAATTCAAAACTTAGTGTCTAGGTTTTGAAATGGTTAACTTATATCACAGAATGGGTTAACTTTGCCACTGCTCTACTGTGTGACCTTGTGCAAGTTGCCTAACTTCCTTGAGCCTGTTTTCTCATGTATAAAATCCAGTTGGACTATATGATCTCTAAGGGCCTTCCAGCTCTAAAAATTCTATGAGTCTATTATAATTTAACTGTTGGGGAGTAGGACTCTGCCATTAGTTTTTAGTTTTAAGATAACTGACAAAAATTAAAATTACGTTCACCTTTCTGAATAAACTGAAGAATCTTACTAATAATACCTACTTTGTCTCAAGTTTTAAATTCATGTCCTATGTTTAATATGGGGTAAGAATCACAGAATCACTGAATTTTTGAGCTGGAAGGAAATTCAATTTTGTTATTGCCTGATGGATTTTTGAGTTCCAGACCTACCTTCTTTGATCCTCTGCTCTACTTGGCTCTCTGGCAACACAGACCTGGCTAGGCAGAACTGGCATTGACGCTAGGTCAGTGTAGAATGAATAGTTCAAAGTATGGGGAAATGAAAATAGCAGAGAAATGGCTATAGGAGAGAAGGGAGCAGTGGAAAATTTTAGTCAAGGAAGTAGCTGATGCAGTTTTATTTAATAATTGTTACTAATTATAAAATGGTATGCACAATGTTTGATTTTATGAATTTATTAATGTAAGTTTAATACACTTTCTTTTAGTGTATACCACATGTTAATTTAGGAGCTATTCCTCCTTCAATTTTTCACATAATGATCATTTTTCTGTCTCTCATTATCTCCACTCAACGTTAACTGAAAATAACATGGGAGCTGAAGTAAGCTAGTAAGGTAAAAATACAGAATGTAGAAGTTAGGCAAAGAATTGTAGAAACAGGAATTGACTGAAAAAACTAGTGCAAGAGCAGGTGCTGATGTACCTAAGGAACTCTGGTATCAAAATGAGAAAGAAAACTCTCAGGAATTTTGTATTGTATGAAAGTTTTGTTTTCTAAGGAGAAAGAAGTCACTTAGGACCTTGAAACTGTGCATGAAAGTTTTTTCGAGAAACTTCAATTTGTTAGTTTATCCAAATTAGATTATTTTGGTATAGAAACCCGTAAATAATTTCCATGTCAAATGCCAATTTATCAAAATTACTAAAAGAAATTGCTAATTTAAAAATTGTATCAGAATGTGAGTAATTTTAGAGCAAGTGTTTACTTATAACACTGAAGTTATTAATAAGGTTCTAGATTGATCACACATGCAATTTAGACTCAAAGTCGATAATTAACTGTAATGTGTCTCTATTAGGCTACAAAGTCTGCTATACACGTTATTAACTGACATTTATAATTTCCATGAAATTATTACATGTCTATAGAAATCCACTAAGCTTAAGTTGTATAAAATGGGCTGATGGTAAAATAAACTGCTTTGCTCAGGGAAAAAAAGGGCAAAATATAAGCATAAAACAGTTTTTGAAACTACTCGCTACTAAAAGATGGGAATATAAATTCTACATCAAGTGAGGGGGGAAAAAGAAAAGACAAGAAGACAAGAACACAGAAAAGCAGAAAAGAGACATGACAGTCAAAAAGATTTTAAAGGTACTTATTAGTCTTTTAAAGTAACAGATGACATACTTTTAAAAATCTGCTCTTACTATCTTACCAATGACTAAGTCAATAGTTAAGAGTAACTTGTAAACTTACCTGTACTACATGCCAATGCCGATGTCCAAGTAAAGTGCTTAAACCCTGAGACTCTAAACCACCATCTGCAAATGGGCTCTTTTCCCTACTGGGCTTATGCTCAGAGTGTGCAGATGAACTCCTAGGATTCTGTGTTTGTGAGGCTTCTCCACAGTTCAAATACAAACGATCCTCCCCCTGAAGCAACACTTGCTCTTGGTTACTCTAGGTGAAAGGGAAAGGAAGCAAACAGGCAAAAAAGCAAGTTGAAATTATTTTATAATAATGAATTATAAAAATCATTCGCTATTAGGAAGGGAAAATTATAAGAGCGTCCATTTAATTACACTATACAAAATGTACCAGCTGTCTAAATATCAGTTTTCTCACAGAGGACTGCATACATATTTAGGTATTATAAGGAACATGCAATATTTTAATGATTCCATTCCAGTGTAAATAAAATCTTTATTAAAATCTGTTTTATCATGTAAATTCCAAAAGATGCCTTGGTTTTCAACTGCTACAGCATTGCCTTTTATTACAACTCCAAAATGGCAGTGCTATGAGAGATTTTCCATCTGAAAACTAAACAATTCCTCACTATCTACAGTTCACAAACTAATTTCACATACATATTTTATGTATACCGGTGAAAAAACATGTCTGGTCAAAGACTGTACATGCATACCAATGGGCCTCCAGGTATGAATTAGTAATGGGGATGGCTAGATATTGAAGTATCCCACAAACAATGGAAAGGAACTATAGTCTAAGTTTGTGGCCTTGGGAATATCTAGACAAATTAGTAGTGATGCCAAGGTTATCAATGATTACGTCAGTATCCTAAAACATTGGTAGATTCTTCACTATTAAAGTCACAAAGTAACACACTATGCCTTCTGTAACAGTTCAAATGTCTTAATATAAATCAAGGATTTTTTAATATTATTATTTGGGACGAGAGAGAAAGATGAAAAAAAAATACTCTTGTTTTTCTGGGAATCCTTAGTTATCAATTGTAGTAATGAAATCAGAGCTCCAGGTGATTTTCATATGCTTTCTCAGCACATTATTAATTAGAAACTAGTTATACTGAATATTTTAAAAGCCCACTAGCAACTAGAAATTAAAATATGTACTCCAAACACATAAATACATCTTATATATAGTAATAATATAAAGTATTAGTACATGTTTCACATTTAAAAACCATGAGGAGATATTGTAATTTGGGGCTGTGTTTCCCAAAGCAGGTTATTTTTCCCAAGGTCTTTCTTAAAAATTCATAATTATAAAAGCTTGGGAAACACTGCTTTGTATATAGGAATTTGTGGATTCTTCATGATGCTATTAGCATCAAAACTGGAGTACTACAATAAAGAAATCTAGGTTTTATATAACTTATTTCACATTTACATGACAATATAACTTTTCTTATCCTGTGTAAACTGCTTTTAGTATTTCTCCTAACTAGAGCCTGGTAGAACACACTTTGGAAAATGCTAGTCAGATAAGTACTAAATTTTATTTAAGTTATGTAAAAATAATCTGTACACAGTACTTTTCCTGAAGTTGCTACCATGATCCTATTAAATCAAAGCCTACTCAGAACTAAAATTTTGGTACAACTTTCAGAAAAGTTTTTTCATTAAAAAGAAACAAGAATCACCGAAAATACACAGAAAAATATGCCAATTTTGGAAGTATACTTTTATTAAGTATACTGAACCTATCTGTGACATAAAGGAGAATGTGACATTCTAAAATGAAAGCCACTAAAACAAATACATATAATTAAACTTACCATACAAGGGTTTACAGTGAGTACACTCTTGATGAACTGAAACAGCAGAATTCCAGGCTGATTAACTATACTCTTGGGGTCGGACTCAATTTCAGTATTCTGAGAACCAAATCCACTGATTACCCATAGATGGTAGCCTTCTGCACCCCAGCTCTTGGAAAGGAGGGAAAACAGGAGGTGGGGAGGTAAAATGTCAAAGCAATGGAAAGTTTGCTATTGTTTTCCAGTTTCACATAACCAACAACCACAGCATAATGATTTTTTTAATGTTGAAGCCATGACAAGAAATTCAGGTACATACCTACCTACCTAATTTACATCTTGACCATCTCCTGTGGACTGTCATTGCTCACTACTTTGAAAAGCTAGTAGTGAAAAGACTACATACAATCTTAATCTATATCCTAAGAAATGCTTACTATTCTGTTACTTCTTTATTAGTTTAAATACAGTCAAGGTTACCAATCAATGGACGTATCAGTGACAGGCCACGTTTACTTAGTGGGTTATACACCATCTAGATTTGTGTAATGATACCCTGACTTTCCCACAATGATGAAATTGCCTAAGGGTGCATTTCACAGATCATACTGCATTTTTAAATAACACATAACCATACAAAGAAAATTCTTACAGAGTATATATCCAGGTTACTCGGGTTAAAGCTAACAAAGAAACACCTAAAATAAATGCAATTTTGTGTAAAACAAAGACAACTAGATTGGAAGCTATGAGACTAGGATTTTCATTGTCAGTTTTCACCTCCATCATAGTCCATGTGTTCCACATTTTCACTCCTTCCCCTCTCCCTCTTCACTCTTGGCTGCCTCAGATCTATGGTCAGCTTTCAAAGGTTTCAAACCTTATTTTAAATTTTAAATAAGATGGCAAGAGATACCAAATTAGTCTTTAGTTGTGAAATATTGGGAGTACCATTCTATGGCAATTATGATGAGATGATTTGAGAAATCCAAGATCAGAGAAAAGGATAAAATAAGTCTCTTAGTCACTAACCTCACAAGGATAGTATGCACAAAGAGGCTATTATAATAAGAAAATACCTTTATGTGAAGATGGGTTATATCTCACTGCTTTCTATGGAAACATTTGAAAATACACAATAAAAAAAATTGTTACAACAGTAACTACAAATCTCCTTATATACACCTATGGTTAATTTTTCAAAATATGTTCAAATAATGCACAAGTATAAATCCTCCAGGAAAAACACCCAATGAGCATTTTATTTTATGGTGAAAGAAAGGTCATGACAAATAGATGCTAATGAATTATTAAGAAAAGAGGTATGCTTAGAAAAAACAAAAGCCTAATTTGAAAATTGACAGGGCTTGCAGGACATATCTAAGGAAGACCAAAATAAGAAAAGGGTGAAGAAAAAAAATTCAAGTTTCTTACACTTAACTTTTTATAGAAAAACTTACCATAGAGCTGATCTTAAGAGGATCTTTTTTGGTACCATCAGTCCTATAACTGAAAACAGAATAAATTCATTTTAAAAGAATCTTCATATTATGTAATAATGCATGAAATTTAAGATTGTAGGCCAATAAATGCACTTGGATCACACAGTCTCAGATTCTAAGTATCTTCTTCACAAGGTCATGCAAGTTGGATGAGTGTGTTTCACTTTGTCATGACTGATGTTCAGTATAGTAGTACATGAATCAAACAGAAATCAGCCCATCTCCCAAAACCCAATCAGATAATGTAATTTTCCACTTTGCAGTAATTATTTATGCACATGCCTTATCACTCTTATTAGAGAATAAATTACTTGAAGGCAGAACACTATCTGATATAATCTTAAATCTAACATGCTATTATATACGTAAAACAGGTGTTCCAACAAATGAATTAACTTTTATTGAATGGTCAATTTCTATAAGATGGATGTTTTAAAGACTCAACATATTTTGAATAAAATAATTTTGTACCATATAAACTGTTTGGAGATAACCAGTGTGATGATAACCAGTTTTGTTAAGTAAAAAAGAAGTATAACTGTATGACACAAATTTCTCGTGTGTGTGTATACGTGTGTGTGTATAGTGGTTGAAAGGTAATGGAATTATTTTATCTAAAACTTGGCTTTATAGACTCACGCAAAATCTCCACCAAGTGTACAGATCAGCTGGGCTCCAAACACACTCCATAAAGAAAAGCCTCCATATTCCCAAGTCACCATTACAACACTATTGTCAGGAGACCATCTGACCAATTTAACAGCTCCTGTTTTGTTCCAAATGTCTGTTAAAAAATCATGAAAAGAGTTATATGATCATTTCAGAAATACTTAGTATGTTATCTTACAATCTGCCTCTTCAAGATGAAATATACAGAAAGGATGACTGCATCAAAGAATGAGATGAGTCCTGCACATTTAAGACTACTTAAAATCAGGAAGGCCACAAATCTTGACTTAATCTACGCAGAACAAATTCAGTGCCCAAGTGATTTATAAGCCACAGACACCATTTTAGGCAACTACTTGCTGGAATACCTACAGCTATAAGTTTCTTTGGGAAAAATCAGTTTTCTATAAAACAGGGACAATGTCTCCTTGAATGACTCAACACTGAATGTGAAAGTACTCTGTAAAAGTATGAAGTGTTTTAAAATGTAAAATATTTTACCATTGCCATCATGTTGCATTGGCAATATCAGAGGGATCCAAGTTAAAATAAAGTTTTTCTTATAATCAAGCAGGTAAATATCAAATTCTCACATCTTCTTTTACTAAAAATAGTTCTTTAACCCCTATATAATTACTAAAGGGGAAAATCTCATTTTGTAATAAAGTCAAACTTTCCTTACAACAGTTAAATGAAACATGCCATTTCCCACCAGCAATTCAAAAAGACCTATAATAGAAGTTTCTTTAAAATTATAATTCTCCCATATGCAAGTATTAAGTTTTTTGCTAAGTACATTATTGGGGGGGGGTAGGTATATAGATTTCAACCTATAGAAGAATGCTTGGTTAGTAGAGAACTTTTTTCCTCTGCCAAAGTTCAAACCTCCACACAGGCATTTCCACTTTAAAAAATATACATATGTATATATTTTTAAGATTTATTTGCATACAGAATTGGGGTACAGTCCAGAGGTGCAGAGGCAGTGAGAGGATTCACCAGAGACACAATGGGGAGCAGAACAGGCCAACTGATGAAGTATACTGCTGAGGGAAGAGCAGGCAGGTCAGGAGAGGCCTGCCACAGCATGTGGATCACGTCTGGGGCAGGGATCGAACTCATGCTGAAGTGGCTTTAGCTTCTTAGTGCTGTGCTTTAACCCACTGAACCACCAGGGAGGGCCCGTTCCCACTTTAATTCATGGATATGAATAACTGTGTTATGATGAAAATAAATGGGAACATATATGTAAGAAATAGCTATCTTATCAGTATACTTTTTAATTTTACAGGAGAGAAATTAAAATCAAACTGAGCAAAAGCAGACACAGATCTCACAAAGAAAGAAAACTTCAGACTAATATCCCTTTTGTACACAAAAATCCTCAACAAAACCTTAACAAACTGAATCAGTAAGACATTGAAGAAGCTTACATCATGACCAAGTGGGGTTTATTCCAGGGAGACAAGGATGTTTCAACATGTGCAAAACAATAAATTCACCATATTAACAAAAGGAAAGACAAAAATCAAAAGTTCATTATCAATGGATGCAGAAAAGGCGTTTGACAAATTTCAGCACCCATGTGTAATAATCACCTTTGTAAAATGGGGTCAGAAGGAACATACTTCAACATATAAAGGCTATATCTGATCAATCCACAGCTAGCAACATACTCAACTGTGAGAAAAATGGAAGCTTTTCTTTTTAAGATATGCTACACAACAAAAAATTCCACTCTCACCAGTATCATCCTACTAGAGCAACTAGGCAAGAGAAAGACATAAAAGAAATCCATATTGGAAAATAAAAGTATCATTTGCAGATGACATAATTATATATCAATTATGTATTGTATACATAAAAAATCAGACTAAGCAACAGGCCTTCCCTGGAGGCGCAGTGGGTTAAAGCACAGCACTAACAAGCTAAAGCCACTTCAGCATGAGTTGGAACCCTGCCTGCCCCAGAGGTGATCCACATGATGTAGAGACCTCTACTGACCATCCCGCTGCACCCCTCAGCAGTGTATTTTGTAGATCTTCCTGTTCTGCTTCCCACTCTGTCTCTGGTGAATCCTCTCACTGCCCTTGCACCTCTGGCCTGTACTCCAGTTCTGTAAGCATAAATAAATCAATCTTTGAAGAAAAAAAAAAGATGGCACCTTGCAAAATGGGAGAAAATATTTGCATATCATACATTTGGTAAGAGGCCTAATATACAAAGCACTTATATAACTCAATTAGGAGAGAATAAAGAACTCACCTAAATATAGGCAGAAGAGTTAAATAGACCAAGAAAGACATACAAATGGCCTACAAGCACATGAAAAAATGTTCAATATGACTTATCAGGGAAATCAAAACCATGATGAGATACCATCACATTCCTATGAGAAGAGCTATCATCAAAAGAACCACAAACAATAAATGTTGGTAAGAGTGTTGAGAAAAAGGAACCCTTGTACACCACTGGCAGGAAGTGAACTTGTTGGTCCAGCTCCTATGGAAAACAGTATGGCGGTTTCTCAAAGTCTTAATAACAGATATATCTGTATGACAGAGTTAATTTAACTCTTTACTATTTATCCAACGAATGCAAAAACATAAATTTGAAGGGATACATAGACACTTCTCTGTTTAATGCACCATTTTTACAATAGCCAAATTATGATAACCAAAATTTTATACAAGTTGGAGGAAAACAATCATCTCTTCATCAAAAATAATAAAATATATGAACATAATGAATAAGAACCCAGGAACACAGACAACAGAACTTGATTCAGAAAATCTACAGATAAGCATTGATATAGAATGTAGAAACCACTCTATTACATCTAAAGAAAAAATTGAAGTAGCAGCTGTATGTACACAGATTAGAAAAAAGACAAACCTAGGGGAAAAATTTTAACTAAAAATTCCATAGAAAGATTAAGCAGCATATTAGACACAAATTAAGAATCAGTATACTGGAAGATAAACATGGAAAACTTTCTAAAATGCTATGTAATAAAAACAAAGCTATAAATAAACTTAAAAGACATGTTAAGAAATATGTGGAGGTCCTCCCTCATGGCCCCGAGGGTTAAAGCACAGCACTAAGAAGCCAAAGCAACTTCAGCATGCGTTAGATCCCAGCCCACACCGGAGATGATGCACATCTCTGCAGACCCTTTAGCTGCTCCCCTCAGCAGTGTTACTTCGTAGATGCCTGTTCTGTTTCCCACTCTGTTTCTGGTGAATCCTCTCACCATCCCTGCACCTCTGACCTAGACCCTAAAATATATATGAGGAAAACTGCAATATGTCTAATTAAACTTCTACAAAGAGATTAAGGAAGAGGCAATATTTAAAGAGAAAACATGTATTTTCCAGAGTAACTAGAAGGTAAGAATACTCAGAATCAGGAAGCCTGAGTCTAAAAGGAAACATAATTGACCAGAGACTACAAAACAGTAATAATGGAAGTTCAAAGTAACACTTTTCAATGCATAGATTTTAAAATTTGTCAATTCAGGGCCCTCCCTGGTGGCCCAAGAGTTAGGACAGCAGCACTGCAGGCTAGCACAGCCACTTCAGTGCAAATTCAATTCCCCGCCCTGGAGGTGATGGACAAGGCGCAGCAGACCTCTCCTGACCCGCCCACTGTTCCCCTCAGCGGTGTACTTCATTCACCTGCCTGTTCTGCTTCCTACTCTGTCTCTGGTATGGAATCTCTCACCACCACTGCACCTTCTACCCCAGTTCTGTATGAATAAATCTCTAAAAAAAAAGCTGTCAGTTCAAAATTGTACACTATATTTAAATCACAAGGGCAAAATAAATGTACTCCCAGACCAAATAGTTTACCAACACAAAAACTTCACTAAATTCAAAAGTGGAAGGTATGAATTATTAAAGGAAATGGACAAAAAAAGGGCAAGTATATGCATAGTTAACACTAAACATTAAGTTAAAAATTCTAATGTTTATCTGATATTCTGACATGATATGTAACTCAGCTGTCTTCTGAAGGTTAACAAATTATTTATTGTAAATTCAATTTAATGAGTGCTATGAATTTTTTTTCTGACACCAAGCATCAGAGAAATTTGTATTATGTTAATTATTAATATGGGATCATAACTAAATTTGAAAAAAAGCACCCATTACTAATATGCATAAAGGAAATAATATATGTTAAATTTTTGAGACATGTAGTAATGAGATTTTACTTTCAAATCCAACCCAGAAAGGTAACTGACCTCAACTTAAAAAAAGATATTGATTCATTCACTACATTTTTACTATGTGCCTCTCACTCTCCCAAAGTAACTTGGTGTGAAGAGACAGATACATCCTATACTTTTCAGTCTGAAAAGTTAACTTATATATTCAATAAAGCATTATCAGAGGTAAGAAAGATGTCATAGTGAAGGTATAATAGGACCCATGAGGAAACTGTATTTTATCTAGTTCATAAAATGGAATTTCACTTTAACTGTATGCTGAAAGATGAAAATACATTTTCCATGTAAACATATGGGAAATTGCAGATAAAGAAAACAGTATAAGAATCGGAGACTGACTCTCAAGGATGTAAAATGTAAAGCTTAAAATTGTGGTTCACAGCCTGGGTGCTAAGATAACTTCAGAGCACTGTAGAAAATTCTTGGGGACAGGGTGTCTGTGACATTAATTTTTTTTAAAATTTATACATACAGAACTGGAGTACAGGCCAGAGGTTCAGAAGCTGTGAGAAGATTCACCAGAGAGAGTGGGGAGCAGAATCGGTAGATCAATGAAGTACACTACTGAGGGGAGCAGTGGAAGAGACAGGAGGGGTCTACCATGCCATTTGGATCACCTATGGGGCCAGGGATTGAATTTGCACTGAAGCGGCTGCGGCTAGCTTGCAGTGCTGTGTCCTAATCCACTACAACACCAAGGAGGGCCCTAGAGATAATTTTCAAGAGAAATTCAGTATTATATGTAGTATCTGTTGGACACTAGGTAAGCTATTACCTCCAGGAGGCTCACAGTTCTAGCATCAGGTTGCTCTATGTTTATTTTGATGATGTTACTTACATCTTTGTGGAGAGGGATTTTAGTAGTTGCTATGATTTTAAAAATTAGTATAAAAATTTAAGGTGGAACAGAAAATGTGGGTATTGTCATCAAAGTGACACCACGCTTTGATAAATTAAAGTGTCTGACAGACATGGACATCCTCTTAGTAGAAAATGTTTAAAAGTAAAAATTTTTTTTTCACTACATTGATGTGTATTACTTTGCCTAAATTCTAGCTGTCAGGCTATACTTACTGTTTATACCTAATAAATACTACAGATACTTAATAAACAAAACATTTGGTATTTAAGCTGGAATATTGTAAGATTACAGAAATACTAAGGGCAAACTAAAGCAAGAAATATCAGAGATCTGGCAAAAGACCTAACACCCATGTGGTGTACACTGTAATTTGGTTATTAATACACACTTACTCCCATTCTTGTTTCTCTTTGCTCATGTGTGCCAATTGAGGGCTTTAAAAAGTTTGGAAAAGCCTTGGTTAACTGTGACATAATTATGATCAATTATATGTAAGTAGAACATAGTTGGAATAGGTAAGAGGTAGAGATGATGCTTCAGGGAAAGCTTTTGTTTTCCTGATTAAAAAAGAAAAATCTCACACACACACACAAAATCAGATGATGTCTTGTATTCTCCTTTCTTCTAGACTCAATGCAGAAGTAATATATGGACTTTGGGAGCTATCTGGGACTGGCCAAATGAGTGCCAGTTACAGCTTACCTTCTGATTTTTTTTTTTTTTTTTTTTGGCTATTTGAAAAAAATAAATCCTATTTAAACCACCAACAGTCGGATTTTCTGTCAGCTTCAGTCAAAAGCATTTCCAATGTCATATGATTTAGACTTACTTCTGTGGAAAAGATTCACTAAAGACCTATTAAGAGATTCAGAAAGAAACTTTTGTTTACTTCTGTGAACCTACTTATTAAAAGTTCTGGCCGGCAGATAATTGTTGAATAAAGTAAAGGAGGCATGAGATAATAGAAGAAATGAAATTAGGTCTGAGACTACAATAAAATCGAGACAAGGAATATAGGGACTAAAACGAAATGAGGAGGCCCTCCCTGGTAGCGCAGAGTGTTAAAATACAGCACTAAGAAGCTAAAGCCACTTCAGCATGAGTTTGATCCCCGCCCCGGAGGTGACCACATGGCACAGCAGGCCTCTCCTGACCTCCCCTCAGCAGTGTAATTCATCCATCTGCCTGTTCTGCTCCCTGCTCTGTATCTCTTCAAGCCTCTCACCAGCCCTGCACATCTGGCCTGTACCCCAGTTCTGTATGCATAAATAAATAAATCTTTAAAAAAAAAAAAAACTAAATGAGGATAGAGAGGTCTAATTGAAAGGGAAAATGACGTATCCCAGGAGTTCTCTTACTTAAACACAAATCCTTGTCTACCTAAAATATTATAAAATACGTTTTAACAATATTTGACCCATAGCATGAATCATTTCATTTAAAAATCAGCATTTATTATGTGTATCATTACCTGTATATTAAAAACGTTAAAATAAAAAGAAAAAAGACTCACCAGGATATTGTTTTGCTGTTAGCTCTAGTTTATGAGACAGGAGCATAGCACCAGTGGTGGTATCTATTGTATAAACCTGTACAGAACCACTGTGAAAAACAAACTTTTAGTGAAAAGAAACATACAAATAGCATTATGGAATCATCATGTTCTGCTGGTGGAGTATATACAAGATCAAAAATCAGGTTGTAAATAATTTGGAATCTCATAAATTTGGACAAATGCATTTTCTGTAATCTGGCAATTTCACTTCTAGATATATCCCAGAAATGTCCTTGTCTATGTTTAGCAAGTGATACAACAAAGATGTCCATTTTAGAATTGTATATAAATGGGGAAAAAGGGGGAAGCAATCTGAATGTCCAGCAATAACAGAAAGGAAAAATAACTAGCACATTCATGTAGTAGCATACCACAGAGCACTGAAAATGAATGAACTTTAATCACATGCATTAAAGTGGAGAACAAATATATATGCACTATAATTGTTTTAATAGTCAAAAACTTTCTAAAACAAAGTAGTTAAGTACATTTGTGCTAAAAATATAACAAAGAACTGATGTACGAAAATTCTAGATTAATGAATTGCCCCAACAGAGAAAGGAAAATACCAAAGGAAAGGGGCAATAAGTGGGGAAGGGCCCTTCATCAACACGGGAAATCAATGTGTTGTTTCTCAAGTTGGATGATAATTTATATTAACCAATGTTCTTTTGAAAATGCTATTAAATTCAATGCTGTTTTTATACACATTAGGATGATGCTGGCTTATGGCTGCCAGAATATTCTGGCGCTTATGCATCCTTCTTCATGATAGAAGTCATACAGTTTTACCCTCAGCAGCTTTGACTCATTTCCAGCCAGGCCTTAATCTTCTCAAGAATTAGGAAGTTGCAGGAATAGGCAACTTCTGCTTTTGCTTCTTTATTTTTTCCTCTTTTGGGTTTCATTTTAGATAATTTCTCTTGCTATGTTTTTCACATTTATTAGTCTTTTATCCTACACTGTTTTATTTGGGTCTTTTTAATATCTTCTGTGTCTCAGCTTAATACTCAAACAGGGCCCTCTACATTTCTTTGGCATTTCCCCTTTGTGCCACTCTATTTTATTTGGTGTCTGTCCTGTGAGCCCTATCTTATTTGGTCTCCCAGACTCTTTTATTTCCAAGTACTCACTCAGGGAATCTGTTACGCCCTATCTCTCTATCCTTGTGGTTTGCCCTGGAAGCGGTATAAAAGTAATAAAAGTTGGGCTATAAAGTTTTCTTATTCTCAGGAATCACTGTCCTATATTGCTGAATGTTTCAAATCTTATATTCAAAATAGATGGCAGGAGAGAAAATCTGATCACTTATGACATCTTTGTTAGGCATCTAAGCCTAGACTAGATATTTTTCTAGAGTACTAATTAGATATCTTGCTGAAACATTATACTAAGTGACTAGCAGGTACTTATTAGTGTTTGTTTTGTGTCTGAACTGTACCTACTCTGAGCTGCTAAGTTCTTAACAAGGAGTCCAAATATGTTTAATAAATATGTAAGCATATAAGAATATCATTATATAATACTCTATAGTGCCTTTAATCTTTTAATTCTTTTACATTAGCCCCATTATAAACTAAAAATATTTTCAATTAAAAATTACATATTACTATAAACTCAAAGCAAAAAAATGCATTCCCATAAGAGATACGGGTATTAAGTTACAAGTGATCAAATTTACCATCATAAATACTTATTATCGCTGCAAGATGCCACAAAAAGTATACAGTAACAATGATGACAAAATGTTTAACCAGAATCTAATCAAACTGACAATATTGGGTTGCTGGAAATCATGATTCATTTTTGCAAGAAGTAGCTAAAGAGAAAATGAAATATATTTCATAAAAGTGGATTGATTATGGTTTGGAGCTAGGAAGCAATAGAAGAAATTTTGATTAATTTGAATGAGCTTCATGTAAGATCTTATTAGGGATTTCTGCTTAATTTTTCCAAGTGTGATAAGGACATTGCATTTATGTAAGAGAATATCTCATTTTTTTTTTTTTGGAAACTAAGAAATACAAATGTCTATTAACAACAAATCAGAAAAATCATATATAGCCATACACTAAAACACTATCAAAAAATCAGTTTTTAAGATTTCAGTTAATGGCAAACAGCATGGATGATTTCCTCAATGAATGTGGTTTTATTCAAATGAAATTCAAAATCATTGAGAACAAAATTAAGCTCTTTAAGAATACATACAATGGTGTTAAAACCATAAAGAAAAGCATCTGATTATAATGAGACAAGATTGATTACCTTTAAAATAAGTCAATGATTAATCAATAAGCTATGATTAGAAAGTAAAAGAGATAAAACTTATATTGGCTGGCAATGTACTATTTCTTGACCCAGAGAACACATACACATGGGTGTTTGTATCATAATTAATTATAAAGTTATGAGTATTTGTATTATACATTTTCCTGTATGTTTTTATCTTACATTTTAAAAGTTAAAAAGGGTATTTTAAAGTTTGTGCCAATAAATTTGACAGTATATATGAAACCTATTCCTAGAAAAATAGAACTTGCTAAAATATGTAGGTAAAGATGGACAATATAAAATTGTCTTAAATCTATTTTTAAAACTAAATTGAATCAATAATGGAAAAAAATTACTACAAAAGAAATCCAAGGTCTGATGGTTTCACTGATAAATTCTACCACACAAAGATGAAAAGTGAATGAAAGAATCCTTTCTTGATTTGTGGTTAAGGGGGAGAAAAAGGAAAATTACAGTCAAAATGTATTTGTGACATGTATTTAAAAATTCTAAAACTGTGACCAAATCAAATCATAAAGATGAAAAAATTATTTTCCTTCTTTCACACCAAGTTAAATTTACTATACTCTTCAGTGAGAAGTGTGTTAAGAATGAGGATTCCTTACTTTACTAAGAAATTATTGAACATGTAATGAAGGTGGAAATATAGGACCATACTAGTATGATTATTAATACTACAACCACACTATAGTATAGTATAGTATAGTATTAATAACTATACTAGTATGGTTATATTAATATATATTAGTTATACCAATACAAATACTTTAAAACGTAACTTGCTATAATAGTATATCCCATAGAACTTCTAAGTCATTTTTAGGGCAAAATGGAATTTTACATTTAAGACAGAGTTTTGAAAACTAAAAAGCACTATATTCTTATTGCAAAGCATTAATTTAAGTGTCTGATAGTTTTTTCTATTTGACCTAAACTGTAAGACAAAGTCTATCATGGATACCTATTGCTTAGCGCTATGCCTGGTACATGACAGACACCTATATTTTTTTTCAGTGAATAATTGTATTAAATTTTACTTCTGAATTCTAAGAATGATTTCTTTAAAAATTTGCTTGTTGATTAAGGCACACTCACTGATCCTTTTTAACAATAAAGAACCCAAATTTTTAACTGATTTAATTGTCTTAAATGGTAATTCAATTCTCTACCAAGAAAAGCTTTTTACAAAGCAAAATGCTCAATAGCCAAAATAAGCCCTTTAAAATTATTTGCTTCAATCTAATAAATTTGGATTTTACATAAGATCAATTCACAAACTATGATAGGCATGACAAACTTTACCAGTGTGTTAAGAACATCTACATATATATTTTTTAATTATTTTTGGCAATAGCTCTTAAAATGAAGAAGTCTGAATTACCTTGCACAGCCAAATGCCATTAGTCGGTACTTGTTATTTACTGCAACACAAGTCCCATCAACAACATCTTGAGACCAAACTCCATGAAGCTGCTATAATACAGAAAAATGTTAGGGTTTAAGAAATGTTTGCTAAAATGTACTGTAGTCAATATAACTCTTTGTCCATCAACATACACTTTGCTTATGTTTTACTTGGTTTCATCTGGATAACAAAAATTCCCATCAGCACTATCATCTGAATTTTCTTTCTTAAAACATCAATTTCATTAATAGTTCAGTGAATATTCCCAAAGGAGCTCAGGTTAGTGACAATTTATAAACAATGAAAATGGATACTTGATCTCCAAATTCAAATTAAATGAAGTTGACTTCTTATCAGAATATAAATCTCTTTAATAGCAGAAACTGCATTTCACTTGATCATTATCATTATTCTCCTTTATCAACCATATAGGGTTTACAACTTCCCAATAAGTGGATAACATAAAATTTTATTTGGTTTATCCTTCAGAAGTGATTCATGACTTGCAAAGACTTATTATTACTTTATTATTATACTATACATTACACTATTATTTTACATAATAGTATAATGGTTAAAAGCAAGGCATTTGGCAGCCTGACATAACATTCACTTGTTGAAATAATTTAACATCTCCAAGCTTCAGTTTGCCTTATCTGCAATTACTTCTTAGAATGTTTTTGAAGATTATGAGACCATACATACATGTAAATCACATAATGCACACCTAGCATTCAAAAAACTAACCATTAAATAACATTACCTTTATATGCTAATGAATTCTGAAAACAGATAAAAAACAGATTCAACTCAGTTGTCTAATCTCTCAAATTAATAACACCTTAGATTATAAATTCTAAGGCAATGTAGTAAGTACAATACATAGAATGCTACAGCTTTGTATTTTATCTCTGTATTGTTCCAACCATCTGAAGGTCCATCTCTGTTAGAAATACAATATTACAAATTTTATGTAATTTCCAAGGGAGCTATATTAAATTTACTAACATGTAATATTTGTTTTTGTAGGATTTTTATTTTTCATTTTTAGTCATAGAATTAGACATTATTTTATGTAATGCAAATGGTGAAGATAGTATTGAGCATTACAATGGGGGGAGGGAGGGAATGTCAGTGCTTAGATTGAGATTCATCTATTCATTCCTATAACGAGTAGTTTCCACAATTCACTAGCACTATTCTAGATGCTGAGGCTACTGCCAAGTATCAAACAAACCAAGATCCTGTATTTCTGTCTTGCTAACAACTATAGTATATTGGAGGTTGGTAAATACTATGGGAAAAAAAATTATGGGGAAGAGAGATTATGGAAAAAAGACATAATATTAAATTGTTTCCCCTTTAAAAGTGCCTTCTGAGGAAAGCAGTAAGAGCAATAACTTAAAGACTTCCTAGTAGCATTTCTAACATATTAAAAGAACATTGCAGTAGAACAGGGAAAAAGAGAAATGGAATGGAGTAGAATAGGGGAAAAGAGGAAAAAAATTTAACACAGATTCATAATAGGCTTTTAATGAAAGCTAGAATAAGAACAATATCCCGCTTCTCTGACTCTTAAAACGCCAACTTTTAAAACAAGATTGCTTCCAAAAAAGCATAAAAAGACAAGGATAAAGAGTGGGAGAGCAAGCAGCATCAAAAAATGCTGCAAACTGGAAAGCATACAGTTGAACAGAACTGTTAGCTGGTTCAAAGAATGTTGAGAAACAGAGAAACTTACACTACATGGTACACAAAAGGCTAGGGAATTTAGGTATCTCTGATATGCTGAACTAAAAGCAGGACAGATTAAAGCCAATAGAAGCAGCAGATAGGTCTTCCCTGAGCATCTCCCCAATCTGAACAGCTAAGAAACAGTTCATTTCCACCCCAAGAGAAGCTGAAGATTTCTCTTTTAAAAACAAACACAAAAACCCAGTAGTTCCTAGAATAAACTGAAAATAAATGAAAGTTTACATTCTGCATTTGGACCCTCTAGCTCTGTCCTAACTCAAATCCCAGAATGACAAATAAAGGGAAGGAAAAGATAAACCAGATTATGGTCAAGATGCTTTCAATTAGTTCAAATTTTTATTTTAGGTCTTGTAACAGCAACAAAATTCATATATTAACTATCCACATACTAATTAACTACTTATTATGAAAGGATCTCATACAAATAAAAGTCTATAAAGAAACATCACAAAGGACGATGATGAAGAACTTGAAGACACAACCATACTAACGTAGAGATGAGTATTGTGAGCAACCATTCAGTTTGGGGAAGACCCACAGGCTCCAGAGAAATTTGAAGAAAATGAAATGGATAAGCACCTAATGCTTTTGAAAGAACTGAAAAGATGCATAACCTGTAGAGAATTCTAAAGTACAATTATTAATCCCCATGGGAAGAAAAATCTGCAACAGGAAATGAAAAATATTATATTACTTAGGTATTATCAAGGTTTAATAACCAACAGTACAGGCAATTAATAATCTGAAAATCACAACACCTATATTTTGAAAGATGGGGGGAAATACATGAGTGTAGTTGGAACAGGAAAACGAAAAGTGAATGGCCATTTTCCACAGTGAGAAGTCAATGAACATGGCCTAAAAAGTGAAAATGAAATACTTGGAGTAGTGGTGATACATAAGCAAAATAACTAGTAAAGGAATAAAAAGCAGTTGCCTTAAGAAAGGAAAATGGTCAAGAAGTGGGCAGAGGATTATAGGAATTATTATCTCTCTTCAATATATCTAAATATATTGTCTATATCTAGAATAGTCTAAATTATTTACATGAATTATTTTGATTAAAAAAATTAACCCCTCAAATATAAAATAAGGAACATGTGGGACTAAACAACAAATAGCAAAACTAACAAATGCAAATAGAAATGTTAAGAAAGTTAACATTCAAAGTAAGTCATACCTCTGCAGTAAATCTACTCGACACTGGTGTAATAAAACCAACTTTACCATCATTAAATACAACAGCAAATCCATCAAGTGTGGCACAGTATTCCATATCTCTGATATGTACATCTGCAAAGCCCAGGAATGAACCTGCTGATGAAAAGTATATGAAATCAGAATATAGTGAATTTCTCACATTTCGGTTGCAAATCCTATAAGAATTGGCAAAAAAAAGAATGGAAAATACTGAACAATTAAAGTCCTCCCTATGTTCTCTTCCTTCCCCCATTCTTACACGCTTTCCCTTCCCTTGTATAACTCTCAAGTAGAAAAAAAAAATCTATGTTCATGTACAGAAAATGTCTAATTGTTAAATAGACATTTTTACCCTATGTAGAAAGTGTAACTACCTCTAGATGACTGCAGATCCACTGAAAAGGGCACTGTGCAAAGGTTAATGGCTTTTCTTCCATTTGTCATCCCCTCCCAATGAATAAGATGAAGAAGTCCATCAGAAGTAGCAACCAGAAGATCTTCCAGTACAGACTGCAAACTGCAGGAAAGTAAGCAATTTAGAAATCAATTAATTCTTAAGAGAGCATCCTGGGAAGCAAAATAGTTACGAATATTTATGCAGAGAACTCATGAAACTACTTATAAAACTATCATTTACCCACAAGTTCACAATGTTGTGATAAAATCTGTGTATGATTCATCCTAGAATGAGAAATTTTAGAAGAAATAAAGATTATGAATAGCCATAGTCACAACTTCAAGAATCAGGTTAAAAACTAGAATATAGAGAGTAAATTAGAAGACAAAGAGGGCCTTCCCTGGTGGCACAATGAGTTGAAGTGCAACACTGTGAGGCTGTCTGCAGCCACTGCAGCAAGCAGACACCACAGCATGATTCGCTCCCTGGACAGGGAGCTGACCCACATGCCACAGCAGACCTCTCCCATCTTACCCACTGCTTCCCTTCAGCAGTGTATTTCAGTAGATCTGCCTGTTCTACATCCTGCTATCTTCTGGTGAACCCTCTCAAACAAGCATCTCTAGCCTGTACCCCAGTACTTATGTGCATAAATAAACAAATAAAAATCTTAAAAAAAAAAGACAAAGATAAGTGACAGCTGACAAGGAAAAATGAAGAGAAAAAAACAAATAAAAAAAACAGGTAATAATTTAGAGTCATAGATTACAAGAGCAATAATACCCTAGCCCTGTATAAGAGAACCTTCAACATAATGGGCATGTTCTGTACCTGAACTATCCAATAGAGATAGACACTAGCCACATATGGCTACTGTATAGCTACTGTGACAAAATTTTAAATTACACTTTTAACTAATATAAATTTAAATATCTTAAATATTTAAATATGACTACTGCTTACTATGTAGGAGAGTATAGCTCTAAACCACTGCATTTATAGGAACTCATTGAATCTCACACTGTTCAATAGACAGTGTGAAGAAGAAAAGGGCAAAACGAAAAATAATCCTAAAAAAAAAAAATCACAAAATTACTGGCATAGGAAAAAGTAGAGAGAGAATCTGTGAAAATTTTACCAAGAAAGCCAAGAAAATAATATTTAATAAAGAGAATTCAAGAGTATCAAATGCTATAAAGAATTCAAATGCTATACAGAATTAAAGTATAAGAAAAATATATATGTAATAAACTATTATATATACTAAATTTCCTTTCATACTAAGGTGAGTGCATTTCAGAAATACTTGAATTCATGAAAAAAAATAGTTTTTCTAAAGAGACATCCAATATTTGCAAATTTATTTTAGCATAGAAGAACTGGGTTGTAGGCCAGAGATATGAGGGATGAGAGGATTCACTAGAGACAGAGTGGGAAGCAGAATAGGAAGATCAACTGAATTACACTGCTAAGGGGAGTAGTGGGCAAGAAGGAGAGGTCTGCTGTGTCATGAGGGTTAGCTCCATATCAAAGAGAGGATGCTTATATGCAGCAAAGGGAAGCCCTCCATGTCTAAGCTGCAATTTAACCCCTAAGCTATCTAAGCTATTAGATATATTAGATATCTAAGCTATTAGATAGCTATCTTAGCTATCTAACCCCTAAGCTATTGCTTACTAAACTAAGCCTTCAATTCTCTGGGAATTTGGGTTCAATGACTCATTCTTCAAGGAATGTAAATAATGAAAAATTACTTTCTTCCCAACCAAAAAAGTACTGAAACAACACTAGAATGACATGTTCTTTTCACCTAGCTCCATTGCTCTTTAACTTCATAACATTTGTAATCAGCTATAATTCCCAGTTTATAGAAGTCCATGTATTGTACCTTCTTTCATTATAAATTTACATTTTAGTGATAAAATGTATATGTGGTGTATGTGATGAAAGCATGTTTAAGGTCTGCTGTACATGGAGAGGTAATTTAGTGGCATTGTCATTTGCTACCAGTAACTTTCATTCAGCAGGAGTCAATCTATGGTTTAACAAACTACTATATTCTCCCTCTTACTCTTACCTCCCTGGAAGAATTGCTACATATGATAATAGGAACCAGATCTAAGGTTCTCTCTAGTAACTTAATTACCTACTAGGCAATACTCAGCACTCTTCTGACACATTTAACAATTCAAAATTGCAACATTATTACCCACAATGCTGTGATAAAAAGTTGCCAGCTATACAGGTAAGCAGAAAAGGTAAGCAGAAAAATGTGACTCCCAGTCAAGAGAAAAATTCATTAAATAGATTCACAGATGTATTTTTGATTTTGGAAATAACAGATGACTTTAAAATAACTGAGATAAACATGGTAAAGAATCTATAAGACACAGCTACCTCATTTAATGTAAACTAACCTCATTAATACAAAGGTTGGATCAGTTGTTAAAGTAGTGAATATTGTCATAAAGGTTACTAAACACCACTATCCCACACATTCTCATGTTGCACTGATTTTTTTTTTATTTTGAAAAATCACCCTTGGTTAGTATAAGCACACACAAAATATACAAATACACTCTAAATTATGTCCCCTGAGAAACTTTTTGAAGCAGTAACCTCATGGCCTTTTATAACAACTACCCAGTATACATCAGTACTTCGTTATTTTTGTAGGAGCTGAAAGATTTAACAATTGATACAAAAGGAATATGCTAGAATATCATATGTGAAGAATACTGTTTGATTAGTCAAATATATTTAATGATTTGGTGACCTATTTTTAAATATGTAAATATATTTAATACCTATTTACTCTTTTTGTACTATTTCTACACAGGGCCTTCCTACATATCCAGAATGAAGACATGGGATAAACTCCGTATTTGAAAATACGAACTAGAGTAAGAGTTTTAATTACAGTCTATACTAGTACTTTTTACATTCTAAACATTCTCTTCCTCAATTGATAAGAGGTTGGATTTATTCTCTCTTCAATCAAAAAACTGAAAAAATGACAGTTGCTCCTACAAGCAATGCCATGACAATTACCCTTTGTTTCTCTTCAATTATATTAAATTTTGACTTATTACTTTGACTTTCCGACTTTGGTAGTCGGAGGATAGATAACTGGTATAAAACCAAAGTTTATCTCCTAACTCAATTCAAAATAGTACAGGAAACCTCCAAACTACACTGTTTTAAATTAATTATTTGGAATTTTGAAAGAAACCTTAAGAAATTTCTAATCAACTAAATTTGTAGGTTTAAGACCAGCAGCTGCCAAGTTAAACTTGTACAAATGGTAGAAATTCTTTTTATTAAGGTTCCTTCTCTATTCCATTTCCATGAACCATACCAGTTTTTTTTTTTACCACCAGGTGGAAGTAGAAATTCACACCTGTGCAATTCCATCAGTCTGACGCCCAAAGTCACTGAAAATTCCTTATGCATTAAGTCATGTTTTTAAAAAGGATCTCTAACCATGGGATTACAAATGAGATGGAAAAAGGCACAAATGATGAAACAAACAAACAAAAACCTTTTTTTTATAGTTGGAAAGCAGTTTATTTTGGTTATTCAGATACATTCATTAATAGAGATATGCTTTCCATGGATAGTTCATAATAAGGTATGATACAAATTTAGACTTTATATTGGGAGTTCTTCAGGATTTTGTAGTTAATATATGTTAACCATTATGAATACTACTTCCTATTTTAGATACATAGTAGTAGTAGTTGTTAGAACTTCAGTTATGTAACACTAAATAAATTTTTATACAAAACTATTTTTAAAAAAAAGGATCTCGGCCCTCCCAGGTGGCACAGAGGGTTAAAGCACAGCACTGAGAGGCTAAAGCCACTTCCACATGAGTTCGATTCCCGCCTGCCCCGGAGGTGACCACATGGCGTGGCAGACTTCTCCTGACCTGCCCGCTGCTCCCCTCAGGAGTGTACTTCATAGATCTGCCTGTTCTGCTCCCCACTCTGTCTCTGGTGAAGACTCTCGCCGCCCCTGAGCCTCTGGCCTGTGCCCCAGTTCTGTATGCACAAATAAATAAATCTTTAAAAAAACAAAAACAAAAAGGATCTCTAAGCTGAATTAAATAAAATCTGAGGTGAAGAGCAACTTTCTGACCAAGGTCATGAGTAACCTAAACTAAATAACCCCATATCAAGCATTCCTTTTTTATGAGAAGAGTATAAAAAGACAGATTAAGCAAGGCAACAGCCAGTCACTAGCACATAAATTTAACAAGTTACATTAATTGTAGTGTTCAGAAGCCTTTTATTCTATGTTTCAGAAGAAAAACACAGGTATCACACACAGTTTAATATATTCATACATTATATCCATACTGTTCAATATTTATAAATTCACAAAAAGTCTTTTCCCCAAACTGTCTCCTAGACACTCAGTTCTCATGCCATTTCTTATTTATCCTTCTAGAACAAGGTATATTCTAATATCACTAGCTCCCTTTCAAAAACAAAAAACATTATGTTATCATCAAACAACATATATAGGAAGTTTTGTTTGTTTTTTTTTTTCAGTTAAAGAAGTCTTATCTTTACATGTAGATAGATATTTAGATTCTTTTCCATCTTTTGTTATTATAATGTATTATTAAAAATCTTTTAGGCATGTCATTTTTAACATGATAATGTATATAGGGCTAGTTTCTAGAAGCAGAAAGTTTAGACAAAGGCCATGAATATATGTAATTTTATAATATCAATCAACTTCCATGGACATTGTATCAATTTATATTTTTATCACCACTGTATGATGTTCTCATTTTCCTAACCCCTCTTCCTGGACAGTATGTAACCCAACTGTTTCATACATCTAAGTCATTTATTTCATTTCCTAATGGAGCTCTGTTATATTAACTGGAATATAGAAAATGAAAAAAGCTTAGATTTTTTAAACTATTTGTGTTTTTTCTTGAAAGAATTCTTTATGTATTTGAAAACAGCATTTTGTAGCAATCACTGAAAGTATAAATATTTTCACAGTGATCCTACTTATGACGTTTTTCCATAAAGAATTTCCTTTAACTCTATATAACCCAATTTATCAATGTTTTCTTTCATACAAGTTTACTTTCAAACACTTTTCACAGGAATGTTTTAATGACTCCTAATAGTGCATTTTGAATTAAGATTGTTGTGCTTTTCTTTTCATCATTTCTTACAGTAAATCATAGCATTCGAGATAAAAATTGTTGGCCATTTTGATGCAGAGGTGTGTATGATTACTATACATTTTTTTTAAGTAGCATGGACTATACTGTATCATTCAACAGTTCTATGTTTTACCAAAAGTAAAAAAAAATTCAAAATAAAGTTACAGTTGTCATGCCCAATATAAAGTTTTTATTGCAATAGTAATGTAACATCTGTAAAATTTTACTTTTTAAATCAGGGTTAAGATCAAGCATTTGTAGGACTAAAGGATTATACTCAATAACAAACAAAATTAACATTCTTACTGGTGATGTGATTAAGTAACTACAATGCATACTGTCATCACAAATTGCTAAATTTACCCATTAAAGTACTGTACCTCATAATGGGTGCTTGCAAATCCAGTATTTTTCTCATTTCTAGATTTAATGCTGGAGCACACTGTTCTTCTTTAAAATGGGGTGTCCCCTTCACTTGTGGACTGCCTCTAAAAAATGTGCAAATACACTATGTTAAAAAGATTGAATTCTCTTCCATTCTATGACTAACACATACCCATATCAAAGTAGATGTAATTAAATTTACAAATCACATTTATGATGTTCACAAATGAAAAAGATTTCTACTATACCAGACATATCAATTAAAATAAATGTATTAGAGAAGATATATTTGGATAAAGGGGAGCTTTATACATTTTATATACTGTTGTAGTACCATTATGGAAAGAGTAGTGACTCCTCAAAATTAAAAATTACATATGACCTAGTTCTCAACAGAACTGAGGAGAACTAAGCTAGCCTAGATTTGGTTAAATTCTAAAAACACACGCAATCTTTAAAAGGTCAAGAAAATCTCCAATTTAACTGCCATCTAAAACAAACCTCAATATTCTTTGAAGAGAAAAAAAAATCACCTGCAATACAATGTCCAGTATTCAGTCTAAGTTACTAGATATATAATGTGATTTACTCCTAGGAATTTATTTAACCAACAAATATAAAGCTAACTGAAGAGTGACAAAGTAGAATCTAAAAGCAGACAAAATTCAATTTCAATTTTTAGTCTTTATAAAACTTTTTTAAAAAATATATTCATAGGGCCCTACTGTTGGCACAGAAGGTTAAAGCACAGCACTAAGAAGCTAAAGCCACTTTAGCATGAGTTCAATCCCCACCTGCCCTGGAGGTGATCCCACATGGCCCGGCAGACCTCTCCTGACCCACCCGCTGCTCCCCTCAGCAGTGTACTTTGTAGATCTGCCTGTTCTGCTCCCCACTCTGTCTCAGGTGAAGCCTCTCATTGCCCCTGCACCTCTGGCCTATACCCCAGTTCTGTATGCATAAATAAATCTTAAATAAATAATGTATTCATGAACTTCTCCAGAGAAAACACAAATGGCCAACAGGTATGACAAAATGTTCACCATCACTTATGTTCCGGGAAATGCAAATCACAATTCACAATAAGATACAACTTGACAACAGTGAGAATGGCACATATTACAAAAAGTATCAACTGCAATGTTGGTGAGGATGTGAGAACAAGGAATTCTCCTACACTGCTGGTAGGCATGGAAAATGGTCCAACCACTAGGGAAGCTGTCTGGAGGCTCCTCCAACTACTAAAACTGGAGCTACCATATGATCTACCAATTCCACTCCTAGGAATCTAGAATCTACCCCCCCCAAAAAAATGTAAAGCTAATTCAAAAGAATACCTGAATCTCTGTGTTTAGTGCAGCACTACTTGTAGTGGGTAAGAGATGGAAACAACCCAGATGCTCAAAAATAAGATGACTAGATCATGAAGATGTGGTATATATACACAATGGAATACTATTCAGCAATTAAAGGTAAACTCATGCCATTCTCAGCAACTTGGATGGAGCTGGAAGTGATTGTTTCAGTGAAATAAGCCAGAAGGAAAAAGAAAAATATCGATGGTTTCATGTATAAAGCAGTATAGAGAAACCAAGTAAGGGATCAGGGAAAAAATAATAAACTAAAAAACAAAATTAAAAGGCAACTACATATTAGAATCATTCTGCTCGTAAGGGAAAGGAATCAAAACAGGACAGAAGAGCACAAGGGACTACGGTGATGGTGCACAGGTGAACTGGTGGTGGGAATTTTACAGGGACTGTATCTAAGAAGAGAAAACAAGTACTGTACAAAAATGAATAATGCAATATATATATATAATTATATGTAAAAAACCAGAAAAATGCAAAAGGCTCGTTATTAAAAAAGTAAGAAAACACAGATTCTACTGTGTATATGTACCACATCTTCTTTATTATTCATCTGTTGTATGGGCATTTTGTTTTGTTTCCATATCTTGGCTATTGGGAATGATGCTACAATGAACATAGAGGGTGCTGCTTTCCTTCAAACTAGTTTTTTTGTGTTCCTATTTCTCAGCAATCAAAAAGACAAACTTATGCCATTTTGTAGCAATATGGATGGAGCCGTAAGATATAATGATAAATGAAATAACTGAGGAGAAAGATAAATACTGGCTGGTGACACTACTAAGTAGAATACAGAGAAAGAAGCCAATCTAAAAACCAGAGAAAGAAAACATTAAAAGTGAACTCTTGAAACCTGCATAACTGAAGCATTCAAAAAGAGGAGGCTGAAGAGGAGTAGGAAAAGGAAACACAAAGGATTAATGGTGTGAACTACAGGTGATTTGTTGGGTACCCTGCATTGAGAACACCTGATGGAGAGAATCCTAATGTCATCATAATTAATGAATTAAAATTATAAAAAATGAAATATAAATAGATAAAATACAATTTTAAAAACACTAAAAAAAGAATGTATTCATGGATTACCAGTGTTAATTTTTTAAAATGCTGTAAGGATTAAACATCAAAGATTAACTCTTTTTCAGCTATAATAAATACTAAAAGAGTTGAAGACAAAAGCTTTATTTGAACTTCAAATTCAGTCAGGTATCTTTCTTATAATTCTTCTTGAGAATTAACCACACAGTAAGAGGCATACCAAATAAAGCAAGCAACCAATGAACAAAAGAATGAACAAAACTACATAGGAATTATAGATTCACAATGCTAGAGACAGGAAAATAGGTTCCAAATGGCAAGATAGAGCTCTTAAAATTAAAGGTGAGGCTCTCCCTGGTGGCACAATGGGTTAAAGCACCATATTATGAGACTCTTTTGAACCACTGCAGCACGAGTTCAATCCCCCATCAGGGAGTTAACCTGCATGGCGTGGCAGACCTCTCTTGGATCGCCCACTGCTCCCCTCAGCCTTGTATTTCAGTGCATCTGCCTATTCTGCTTCCCCACTCTGTCTCTGGTGAATCCTCTTACCCACCACACCTCTGTCCTATATCCCAGTTCTATAAGCATAAATAAAGCTTAAAAAATAATTAAAGGAGAATGACAAAAGTTTATGAAATGTTAACTTCTAAACATCAAAAAGCCAAAAACTACTTCATTCAAAATCTAGAGACATTTCTCTAAAAATACATAAATGGAGCCCTCACTTGGGGTGCAGCAGGTTAAAGCACATCACTAAGAAGCTAAGGCCACTTCAGCATGAGTTTGATCCCCGTCCCAGAGGTAATCCACATGTCGCCACAGCCCTCTTGACCTGCCCACTGCTCCCCTCAGCAATGTACTTCGTCATTCTGCTCCCCACTCTGACTTTGGTGGATCTTCTTACTGCCCCTGCACCTCTGGCCTGTACCCCAGTTCTGTATGCATAAAAAATCTTTTAAAAAACACACAAATGGAAGGTCAATAAGTACATGAGAAGATAATCTCACAAATCATTAGGGAAATGTAACTCTAAAATAAGATATCATATCCTCACTAGGATAAAAATTTTCATGAAAGAGCAGAAGATAACTGCTGGCAAAGAACTGGAGTAATTAGGAATACGTGTACTTTTGTTGGGACTAAAATGGCACAGCTGCTAGAGAAGACAGCATGACAGCTTCTTAAAATATTAGAAACAAAACTGTGGAATTATATAACAATTCCACTCTGGGGTGTAGAGCTAAAGGAACTGAAACCAGGGTTTCAAAGAGATAGAAAAACACCTTTGTTCAGAGCAACATTATACATGATAGGTAAAATACAGAAGCAGGGGCTCTCACTGGTTGCGCAGCTGGTTAAAGCACAGCTCTAAGAAGCTAAAGCCACTTCCGCATGAGTTCAATCCTCGCCAACCCTGGAGGAGATCCATATGGCGTGGCAGACCTTTTCTGACCCACCCAGTGCTCCCCTCAGCAGTGTACTTCGTCGATCTGCCTGTTCTGCTCCCTACTCTGTCTCTGGTGAATCCTCTCACTGCCCCTGCACCTCTGGCCTGTACCCCAGTTCTGTGTGAATAAATAAATCTTTTAAAAAAAAAAATACAGAAGCAACCCAAGTGTCCAACAGATGAATGGTTGAGTAAGATGTGGCATATAAGTACAATGGAACATTAAGCCTTAAGGAAAGAAATTATGACACTGTACAAAACTTGGTACAGAAGTTCATGGGTGAACTCTGAGGCCATTATAAGTGACTGAGGTAGTCACAAAAACATGAACATTTTATTTTACTTAAATGCTAAAATGAAGTGCTTAGAGTACACAAAATTACAAAAAAAGTTTGAATAGTAACTACCAAGAGTGGGGGTAAAGGAGTTTTTCAAATACAGCTACAGCCTAGCTAGCTACTGGAGTTGTTAAAGGGAAGAAGAAATAATCTGAGTTTTATTTAATTTTACAAGATGAAAAGGTAAAGAGACGAATGATGGTGATGGCAACAAAGCACTGTGAACATGTTCAATTCCAATGAACTGCTCCCTTAGAAAATGTATGCTATGCTATTAAATGCTACACATATTTTATAAAAGGCAAAAATAAAAGTTATTGAAAGCATCTTTTTGAAATATTACAGAAAGAACTAAAGTATAATTTTTAAATGCTAATGCTTTTCTATCTATAAGATTCAAATGCTGAGATGAATTAAAATTTAGTTTGAAAAAAAAAGCATCTTCAAATCTATTTTGAAAAATAAATCTGGTATGAACTTCAGTAGGTAGGAAAAAAAAGATTAGAGAAAAAGTACAGGAAAAGGAAGCCATAAAGGTCCCTAATAAGTAAGAGAAAAATAGAGATAAGCATGTTTGGCTTGGTAGAGAGAAAATGAGTTAGGTTTAGATATGAACTTACTGGGAAAGCTGGGGCTAAAGTTTAAGAAAATGGTACTACATGAAAGAGACAGTTCTGTACCCCAACTACACATATTCTGAATCAACTACACATATACTGAATACTTAAAGCCACATGCAAAATGATGAAATTTTAGGAAAAAAAATCTTAGGGAAAATGAAAGCATTGTTTTAAGTATTACAGTATTTTGTTTTAAAATGTATAGCATTTTAAGGTGCTATCTTAAATGACATTTTCATGAAGTATATAACATTAGCTACATTTTTTTAAATGAACGAAAAAGAACAA